AGATCAAAGAGGTTTGCCTTTCCGGGACTGAGTTACTTGGACAACCATAAGGAGGGACTCCAGCCAATCTGAGTTACTTGCTTGGCAATTCTCCACGCAGGTGGTGAGAGCTTTCCATGAGCCGTTTGTGGAGAATGGCTTGGAGGGGGATGTGACCATTGGCACTGCACGCGAAGTGTGGGACTCCACCAGGTATTCGACCGGATGCCCGACCACGGCGTGGTAGCTTGGATGGGGATGACCACTGTGTATGCGAATGTCGGGAAGTTAGGTGATGCTCTGTGGCCATACAGATCGACTTACACAAGCGCTCTCACTACCTGCCTGAGCACTCCAGAAGGCAAGCTCCTCCTCCAGGAACTTGGCCTGGAAGACGATGCAGCCACTGTACTGCTGCTGCAGAGGCCTGAAAACTGCTGAGAGCTTGTTTTAGGACAGTGTCGCGTGGAAATGTGTGCAACAATTTCAACGAGAAAGCCGTGGAACTCCACCTCAGCTTCGTAGAGGAGTCACGATGGTACTTTTTGATGATGCTCGATGCTCCTCTTGGCTTGCAAGTGCAAGATGCTTTGTCCAACAAGCTCTTGCTCTGTATATCTCCACCATCACCACACACCTATAGTGACTTAGAATGTGATTCCTTGAGAAAATGCCTAGATGGGGCAAATTTCTGGAACAATGCTTGTTTTAGATCGAATTCCAGAGTGGGACGTAGTTTTGGATTCTCAAAGTTGCAATGATCAGTGAAGCAAGAGACCAGTTCGAGCCATGCCTGAGAGAGATTCTATGTCATAGAATGTCATTATTTCAACATATGCTCCAAGAAAAGAAGTGCTCAGTGCACGAAAGAGAATTCGTTACCGTACACACTGATTATGGGCTGGAATGCTCCGAGAAAAAACCCAGTGCGGTGAAACCAATTAATTGTAATCTCTTGATTCCTTGCCTCAAAGAAGGCTTGAATTTTCCTAGAAACACTTTTCTTTCAGGAGTTCCTGGGAAGAGCCTAAGGAGAGTGTTTGCTGTCATTTCCATGATCTCTGCATATGCGTAACGACGGCATGCATCCTAATCAGAGTGCTTCTTTGACTCTGTGGAAGTTCCAAACGTTATTACGTGAAATTGCTCCATCCATTGAGGTCTTTGAAGTCTTGAATCTGGAAGGATTCAAGCCAGACTTCATGAGCCTTTTGATCGCTTGCTGCCCTTGGGCTGGTAATCGCTGCTAGAGACACATTGGCTTCAATGGTTTTGTAAGTCCCTACTGCTGCTTGATCGGTGTAGTTTGGCTCTAGGATGATGAGGATCTCATTAACACAATGCCATTTTTTCCAGATTTTTCCAACTGGGGATGCTTCGCGAGTGCCTGTAAGATCCATTCTTGCAATGCCAAGATGTGTAGAATTTGTAAAACTGGATCGTAAAAAATCACCGAAAGAAGTTTGACTACCTTTGACTTACCTGAGCCGTTAGATCTTGTACGGGCGGTTGATTCAATTGCTGATAGCCCAATAGCAGGCGAGCTTAATGGTCTTTTGCCCCAAACTTCTTCTCGTCTTTGGCTCGCGACTTGGCCGTGCATGGACTCACCGCCATGGGGGCTGCGGCTAAGTTCTACAAGCTGCTAAGAAGATGGCATGTTTGTGACAGCAGGGAGCCATGTCCGTGCAAGATTACGGCCTCGACAAGGGACGACGAAGGCGGTGAAGCTCCTGCTGTGACGAAGCATGGCTTGCCGAGCTGCAGGGCCTCCCAGCTTCGAGGCAAACCTCGACCAAGAGCGTGATCCCATCATCTTCCCCTTTCGGCATCCCTCCCACTCTCAAGAGGTTGCGCGGCGGAATGCTGGCCAAAGCGATGCATTATTTCTCAAGCCGAGTGGAGAGAGCCTGGGATGAAAGGAAGAAGGCGGATGATATAAAGGTGGTGGAGGAAAAGAGGAAGCCAAGAAGGCAGACCAAGGCTATGGCAAGAGCTGTGTGAGGCGTACGTGCTGGAGCTAAGACGCCACGATGAAGCGGTGGGTTTCAGTGGCAGGCCCTTTTCTTGCGACTATGCTGCACAGAAGCTCAAGCAAGAAATTGGTCCGGGAAGGGCCAATCTAGCAAAGCACTGGATCGTGGTTACGCTGCTGCTAAACAAGCCCGAGCTCACCTCCAGTCACGGTTTACTCATACGTACTTGAAGGAGCGCGATCGTTGTCTTGCAATCAAGACGATGCGAATTAAGTGGCCAAGATGGATTAGCTGGTGAGTGTGGCTGATCTAAGACTACGGTGGCACCTCCAGCAGCATAAAATCTAAGCGACGGGGCTCGTGATGATGCCATGAAGCTTGGAGGTGGGCGATGAAGAAGCTTGGCAAGGATGGAGTAGTCCAAGGAGCCGAGCTTGGGGGGCTTGGTGGACAGGCGTCCAAGAGGCTCAAGATCTGTGGCCCATGCTCTCCAGGTGACTGAGTTTACGAGATGGTGGTGGAGAAATGGAGGAGCTCCTGGTTCTTCCTTTTGCTCTAAACCTAAAAGTTTTTTTTTTAAAAATATCAATGAGATGATTACTAAGCAAAGATCCTGTGCGCTCATATTTGTACAAATATCACATTATTTTTATTACAAAGTTCATCTCAACCTAAACCATTGCAAAATGACTGCAAGAGATGGCATTCTCCATGTACAAAGATCATAAAGTTTTATTGTAGCCTGATGTTCTATAGTGTTGGAGCACCAACATAAACTATTTATCTCTTCCTTGAATTTATCCGTACTCACTTTATCAATACCATGAGGATATTGAAATCTGTACCGCAAACCTGCATTTAAAAGTAACATTGTGATTTCTAAAGTTAGTAATTGCTATGTGCTTGTGAAGCCAATCTTTCCCAAGAAATATACTATCAGAGGAGTCTTTAAGAACACCGAATATCTCTCTCAAAAAACTTTCCCAAGTTATAAGCTAAATTCTCAACTCCATAACCTTCGTCCAATTGATCACCTTCATTCCAAAATACTTGTGATTGTGAATTGTAGGGAGTCTAAGTTTCTTGACAAAATAAAGTGACATAGTTGATGTTCCATAACCATTATCTATTATGATTTTGATTTTGTAGTCATTGATTCTCTTAGGTATTGATTTATCCTCCTAAATCTTATTGATTGAGATAAATTATTGTCACTAGTGAGACAATATATAATACTCTGTTATTATATTTTTGCTACCACTACAATCTAATTGTGATAATAATATATGCAATGTTGATGCATCTAATGTGAAACTAATGTTATATTTCTATGTGGTAATATCGTGAAAGTTTCCTTAAATTCACAACCCAATTTAAAATCCTTAATTTGCCAAATTCTATGTTGAATTAATTAATTTTTCCTCTTGTACTTTTACAACCATTATAATTTAATTGTAGGCAATGTTAGTATATCCAGGGTGAATCTAATGTTATATTACTATTTGAAATAAGTAGTAATATGGTGAAAGGTTCTTTAAATTCGTAGCCTTGTATTGTGAAATTAAAATCCTTAACTTGCCAAATTTTATGTTGAATTAATTAATTTTTCTTAAACCATATTATTATACTTTTACTACCACTGCAATTTAACTGTAAAGAATTTTAATGTATCTAGCATAAATCTAACATAATAATGCTATATGAAATAAATGATAATATGGTGAAAGCTTCTTTAAATTCATAACCCTATATTGTAAATTTAAAATCTTTAACTTACCAAATTTTGAGTTGAATTAATTAATTTTTCATAACCCCTATTATTGTACTTTTACTATCACTATAATTTAACTATAGGTAATATTGATGTATCCAAGGTGAACCCAACTTTTATATTTCTATTTAAAACAAGTGGTAATATAAGTTTCATTAAATTCATAACCTTGTATTGTGAATTTAAAATTCCTAACTAACCAAATTTTATATTGAATGTCATTTCGTTGCTTTCCCGCCTAAGGAAAAGAAAAATATACCTTTTTTTTTTCAAACTGACATTCCCTAAATAACCTCATAACCATTCCTTTTAGAGACTTATTCAAGTTTAAAGTTAGCTATAAACACAAACTAAAGAAAAATAATTGTAAATTAATATATATAAATTAGTTTATTATGTTAAATTTAAAATTTTAAATCACTAAGCTGGCAAAACACTAATAGTTTTACTTTGAAATAAAAAATATGAATTCAATGAAAAAACTGGAAAAATTTATTAAAATGTTGTTTATTACGCAACTATATTTTTCCTATGAGTACTTTTTTGTCTTAGTGACTCCTTTTACAGTGGTTAATATGGGGCAGTTTGAAATTGATTCTGCCCAAAAGTGGGGGAAAACTCTTTCTTTATAAAGAGTATATATATACGCATACATCATGAAAACAAAAGAAACCCATAAAAAGATAGTTAAATGGGTCGCTATCATATATAAACAATAAATTTAATTAATTAATTAATTATAAATTTAAGTATAAAATTTACATTGAATTTTTTTTTTCAATGCTAACATAACCAAATGCTATATTTATAAACTTAATGTGGATAATGATGGAAAACCCTTTTTTAATAAAATAATCTTCTTGAGAATCTAGAGACTTCTTTAAGTTTAAAGTTAGGCATAAACACAAACTAAAGAAAAATAATTGTAAAATAATATATATAAATTAGTCTATTAGGCCGGATTTAAAATTTTAAATCACTAAAATAGCAAAATATTACTAGTTTTACTGTGAAATAATAAATATGAATTTAATCTAAAGAACATTAAAAGTTATCAAAGTGTTTTTATTATGCAACTATACTTTACAAATTAGATAAAGTAGGAAATAACCTTTTTTATTCAACGAACTTACATACCCATATATCATAAGGATATAAAAACCCATAAAAAAACATTTAAATGGTTTGCTGACATATACAAATCATAAATTTAATTAATTAATTAATTATAAAATTAATTATAAAATTTACATTCAACATAACCAAATACTATATTTTTACTAAAGTTATAAATTTAATGTAATAGTAAATAATGAAATTAAACCATTTTATATCTTCTAAAAAATATTCTTGTGTCTTGACTTCAGCAACTTTGCCGCCTAGATGTTGCAGTCAACGGTGCCGTACAACCTCCTCAGCCAGGTTGACTGCAAAAGTTTTAGTCTATGAGCAATCCTGGCACTGCAATTCATCCCATGGATCACGGAGAAGTTGTCGCTACTTTACAGCTCCTCAGATTGCCCCTACAAGTTCGCAGAAGATGGGCTCCCCAGGAGCATCCAGCACAAGCCATCTTCCGGATTGGGGAGGACCACGGATTGTTCCTGGGGAGTTCTTGGTTTAGACCTCGCCCCGTGGTCATGGGATAGATCGATCCTGCTAAAAGAAGAGAAGCTGGGGCGATCCATAGTGGGAAAAATAAAAGGTGTAGTGTGTACCTGTGTCATACCACTCGAACCCAGTGACCACCACACATCGGACACGAATACGCCCATCTTCCAGTCCACCATGCCTCACGAGAATTTGAAGGCACAGCACTGGCCTGTGAATTCGGGGACCACGGGACAAGAGATGCAGTTTGCCGTCCACACCTCATGCACTGGAATACAAAGAGAAAGAGAGTGATGAAAACGAAAACGAAGAAAAGACCATGTTTGAATACCTTGTGCCAGACTGCGTGTAGGACGGACTTCCACGACGAAGTTATCACGTCCCGCCTGGAGCCCATGAAACCTGTGTAGCTTCCCAAGCCAACCGCGGTTTCCACACCGCAAGCAGCGTCTCGCTCGGCAAACCTCCGCTTTCGAGGCCACAAATCCATGGGCCTTTCGTGCTTGTCCAGGCTTTCCAGTCTCTCGGACCAAGGTCCACCGGACATGATTCTCTTGTTCCATTCTTCCGCGGGCGGATGGAGCTCCAGCTCACGCATGAGGAGTCCCGCAGCATCGGCTCCACGAGGACGAGGCAAATTCTGCAAAGAACCAGGAGCTCGTAAGAGACCAACCATTTGTGTTTTTGTTTTGGGTACCTGCATGTGTGGGCCAAGAGAAGCTTCGACAATCTCGGGGACCACCGAGAACTGTCCATCAATGTAATGTAGTCTAAAGCTCGGGTTGCTCGCTCCAGCGGGGAACTTTGGGAACGGATGAGCAAGCGGCGCTGTTCTCTTGCATAGATCTAACAACACGAGAAATAAATATTTCACCTGCAGTTAAAGCTCGTGAGCTTCTGGAAATGAAAACAAAAAGAAATGCGCAGACCTCGTCGGCTGTATAGCCTTGACCAGCATTTCCACTTCCCAGTCTTAAAGGACGTGTATGAACTGGCTCCTCCTTGGACGGCTGAACCAAAGCAGCTTTTGCAACTTGGCCGTCCTCAGTTTTTACAGTAGGCATTAGACGAGGTCCATTGTTGGCGGACTCTTCTGCTTTGACGGGCGCTACTTCCGACTTTCCCATGTACCGTGGGAGTTGTCTCTTGCGAAAGACCAGGCAAAAGAGGAGGAGCTGACAGAGCTTGTGCAGGAAATAGCAGTCTCCGATGAGACGAACCGCAGGGATGCCAGGAAACGTCGATGTGCTCATGCTTAGAGGTGGCGCCGCAGGAGCAACTGTGGCGGTATCAGTGTTGCTCATCTTCGCCACGGCACCTTGTATCCAAGCGTGGACTTGAGCGTTTCCACCATTGCTGCTGGCGCCACCAGGTTGGTTTCCTGAATAAGAATTCGGTTGAGAAGATATCAAAAAACTTTCGCCATACCTGGTGGCGGCAGCGGTGGTGGTGTTGTCGTTGTTGGTGCTGGAGGTGCTGCTGGTGTCGGAACTGGTGCTGGTGTTGGTGCTACTGGTGCTGGTGCTGCTGATGCTGGCGCTGGAGGCTGAGATCCTGCGGGAGGACCGTTTGAGCTTGGTGCTTTGACAGCAGCAAGAGTTCGGCAAAAGCTTGCGTATCTCCGCAATCGGGTCAAAAAGTGAGACGCTAGATCCAAAACCACGTCGACGTAAGACTGCACGAGAGCGTTTCAATGACAGTGTTATTACAAGTGTCGAAACGAACCTGAATTTGATGAACGAGAGCTGGATCAACAAGCATGGCTTCACCGCCAAGACCTGTCAGAGTTTCGCTGGGTGCTTGCCAAGGGTCGAGAATAAGCGTCGAAGGATTAACGAGTGCTGCTTCTATGCCTTTGCCTAGGACTTCCAATAAAAGTCTGGCCTGCATATCAAGGACAAGTGCTCTTACTTCAGCAGCATCTGCCCCTTCTAACATCCTACACTTAATGCGATCCAGAGCCTGTGATCCGAAAACAAATTTGAGAAAAATTTAGGATAAAATAAAAAGAAAACTTACAGGTCCGTAATGCTGACGATGACCTGCATTTGGCAAAGAATGAAAATCTGAATCTAGAACCGCTGCAATTGCCCCTAGAGAAACTGACAAACGTAAAAGGCATGAATTAGCACGCGCGGGAGATGATAGAGACATGAAAAACTACCTAGGCCTTCGTCAGCAGCGCTTTGAGAGTACGCAATAGCGTCCCACCAATCAAGTTGAGTTACCAAGCTCCACCAAAATCTGTTTCATCAAATGGTTGAGCATCTACTTCACCCAAAGAAGGAACTTACCTGTCGGCTATCTGGCGTTCCAGGGGCGCAGTTGTAGGCCCAGATGATGAAAGGGATCGAACACGAACAATCTTCAAGAAGCTGGTGTCGGAGTCTGTGTCATGCCAGGCACATGAGAGGCAGCAACCGGAAGCAGATAGAGCTGGAGATGCAACCAAAAGCCCGACTTGGACGCAGAAGTTCTCGACCGGAAGCAGCCCAGGGCCAGAGAACAAGTGAACTTCGCCACCTAAGAGTGCCACCGCAACTTCTCCCCCGTGACCGCTGAAGCGAACTTTTGCGATACACTTGACGACGGGTAAAGGCTCTGTTTCCTGTTCCTCGGCCGCAGCGTCACCTGTATCCATGCTGCTCGAAGCGTCCCGCTCTCGTTTATTATACGACATGGCCAGCTTTGTCTGAGGAAAGCTCTTGTTCACGACTGTTTTCCATGTTGTAGCCATAGGATGCGACATAGCACCGTAATTCGCAGCTCCTGCTTCAAAAACAGAGTGTATGGCCACTTGTTGCCGTGAACTTTCCCACCTTTGAAACTTCCATCCGGTCATAGAAGGCCCTCCATCAGGATGTTTTGGAGACATATATTGTCCTGTAGAGACACAGAGAAAAAGAATGAGCAAAGAACGATAATATTGACGACCAAACCTTCAACTATCACAACAAGAAGCGCCGTCCCTTGCTTTTCCGGATCGAATGCCACTGCTGCCACTCCGGTTCCCCAAGCTGCTACATTCGATCCAGTGGACGCCTCCGGACTCACGTAGGCTGAGAAGTTTGAAATTGGCGAGCACTGCAGAAAAGGACCTTCCTTGTCAGGAAGGTCCTTCTCGCGAAGCTCCTGCCAACTGAGAAGATACGCTGCCAACGATGCCATCCCCGGCCATGAAGGAGCAGTAAATGGTAGAGGCGACGCACCAAGCTTCATCAGCTGCTGACCATTAAATACGCCTGGAGTGATCTCCCAGATGACAATTGTAGAAGGATTGCCGATAGGCACTCCTGCAACTATCAAGGAGCCAGCGTCGTTGACGAGAACATCTGCAGCATAGATTCCACTCGGCCCAGCTCCTAAAACACCTCTGCTTGACGAGTACCAAACTGGCGTAGAGGAGTCTTTGAGAGGCGACTGCCGCCATCGGAGTTGCACCACACCCGACGATAAAACGATGCAAGCACAAAGAAAATTCGGCCATTTAGCTGCAAGTTAGCGAAGGTTAGCGCGAGACGAACTTTCGAATGTAAACTTTGATCACCAGAGATTGTAGCTTGACGTGCTAGGAATCTTTCCTCAAACAGTGGTGAAGTTCCAGAACCGGCATCCGTCCATTGGTACTGAAAACATAGTTTAAAGCTAAGCCGAGAAAGGATAACTCTGAGCTCACCGAATACTGTGGAGTGATCCATTTCGTGACAACTGCTTGATCTTGCCTCCATTCGTGCTCACAATTCCAGCAATTAAATGCCCGTGCCACATTCAAGGGGCCCTGAGGAACAATGTATAAACAGAAGGAAAGAAAGAGAAAGAAAACATACTTTGGATGGTTGAGTCCAGATAGTCACTTTTCCACGAGAATTCACCACTAAAAGCGCCCGCTCGCAGCTGGGAGGAGACCACTCGATGAAGGCGATGGAATCACAAGGAGTGTCTACAGCACAAGAGAAAAATAAGAGAGAAAAAGTAGATTCTTGGAAGAACAAACAGTCGCAAATTCACTCACCAGCAACCACGTTGAAGATCGCGTGCTCCGTGGGCCTCTCAGGATCGACGACATGGACTGGGATCCAGAACGTAGGCTTCTGCCGAGAACTAGGAAGCCAGAATTTTCATCTCGAGAGAGAAACCATCACACATACCCTGGATCTCTCGCACAAGTCTCCGTGGCGCAGGCGATTATGTTCGTTTTCCCACACCAAGCGGCGGCACTGCTGCGAAATTTCAAGCATCAATCGCGAGTCAGGGATCGCATTCCCTGCCAGAGCAATGTTCTTGCCTGAAAGATTTGAAATCCGGGAACTTGATCCTCCGCCGCTGACTGAAGGGCTGCGGATGCAGCGAGAGCTGGAGGATTGTGCTGCTCTCGTCATCGCCATCAGCTGCAGCTGGATTCTCCTCCTCGCCATCGCTGCCCTTGTCGCCAGTGGCTGGAGGAGCCGCTGCCGGGGCGGGATCCATTTCCTAGCTACCAAGAACCCTAAAATCCTGGCATTATTTACAAACAGGGCCTTTCTACCTTTACTGTTATTAACTTCTATCTGGGAGGATTCTTACACTTAGTTCTTCCCAATGGTTTCTTCTCGATCCCTGTCAAGGATTTGAGTATGGACGATACGCTCTGGAGTTGCGATTTAGCGTCTGCGAGCTTCTTCTCGGCCGAGATTTTCTGTGCGGCAGCGCCCAAGTAGAATCTCTCCAAGTTCCTGCGAGAGACAACCGTGGAATGAACTCTCTCTCTGGAAGAACTCTATGAAATTGAAGAGAGCTTACTTGCGTTCCGCGTCTACTTTGCGCTCCAGGAGCTGCTTGACGTGATCCAGTCGACGTAAAACCAGGGGTTTTGAGCGAGCAACGTCGTCGGCCGAGACCTTGCAAACCAGCTTGAGGACGTCGACAGCCTTGAAGAAGATCTCCTCCTTGTTCCTGGAAAATGCAAACGTTTCGAGCGTGGTCTGAGACGAGCAATTGTTACCTTGACATCTGGAGCTGCTCTGCGACCACTTCCAAAGAGGTTGGAGTGTTGAGAATGGTCGTAGCGAGAGCTGGATAGCGTGCCAAGTTGCCGAGGATGGACAGTGCGTGCTTTAAAACCTGCTCGTGCGGAGTGCTCCGGTTGGTTGTTTGAATCAGCTGGACAATCTTTCCGATTGCTCCGCCTTCCGCGATGCGGTCGCAGCAGTATTTCGAGTGACGAGTTGCTACGTCTGCAGCAGTAGAGTTTCCAGTTGCCGAAGTCAAGAAAAGTCGAGGAAGAAAGAAAAGAGTTACCTATAGTCGCACATATGTGAAGAATGCTGCTGACAGTTTTAAAACTCAGGAGCAATGCAAGAGCCTCGTTCAGGCGATTTCCAAGAGTCATGTTGCAGTCGACAGTTGCCGCAGCGTACTGAATGCGCAGTCGCAGCTGATATAGCTCGTTGGTTTGTACTTTCCGCGTATTGTAACCTTTCCAAAAGGCCTGAGACAAACTCACGTTATACCGGGGAAAGCATAGAAACTTGTACCTGAATGAGAATAGCAGAGGAAAGGATCTTCTTGAGCAGAGTGCGAGCTTTCCATCCACGATAACGTGATTGTATCGTAGTCGCGGCCTGCTTTCTCTTATGAACGTGTGCTGCTTCATCGGATCCAGTGCGCTTCCTGGAACAGAATCCACGCCAATAGGATTGCAAAACTGTTGCAGCTCCGTCCAAATTTCTAGACGCTTTCTGAAAACAAACAGTTAGCTCGTTACAAACGCTCCATTACGTACCTTTTTACTTGTTTGTCTCGCCTTCCAGCATTCGTAAGCGGCTTGTGCAATGTTAGCAGCCTCCGCCTTCTTCCTCTGAACGTGTTTTTTCCATCTCGACTGTATTCTCCTGGCTGCTGAGTTCACAACAAAACTTCGGGTCGCCAACCAGCTTCTGAAACAAGATTGGATGTGGGAAGCCGCGAGCTTAAGTCGCAAATAGCTTCTTTGAGCTCTTCGTCGTCTGTAATGGGCTTCAAGAAGGACCACCGCGTTCCTGTACGAGCTAAACCTTTTCTGAGCAGCATATCTCCTGTAACATTTTTGAATCAGAGTCGCAGCTCCCGTCCAGTTCGATATCCGTTGTCTCACCAAGAAGCCACGAAAAACTGCCTGTATCTTGGTCATCTTTTCCTGTCTGCGCTCTAGAATCCGTCTCCACTGCTGTTGCACAGAAACAACGCGAGCCTTGAGCAAAGCGTATGAGCTACGATCGACATAGCCCCTCCATGATGCTTGAATTCTTCGAATGCTGGACAAAGTCGTCTTCAACCGCTTCTGTTGATCCCAACGCTTATAATGTGCCTGAATTACTGTTCCTGCAGCGCGCCTTTTCTCGGAAGTTCTTCGATCGACCACAGCGCGCCGTCTCTGCTCGATTCTTCTAACTGCGCATTTTGTCAACACGAACGTTTTGCGAGCTACAAAACATCTCCAAGCTGCCTGGATAGTAACTGCACCATCGACAATTTTCCTGTAGTTCTTCCTCCATTTCCAGCCCCTGTAATTTCCCTGGATAACTACTGCTGCAGCTCGTTGTTCACGGAACTTCCTGCATTCCAGTGCAGCCGCCACTTTCCTGATGAACCACCTTGTCCGCACATAAGCTCGACGGGCTCTAAAGCATTTCCATGCAGCCTGGATGGTAACTGCACTCTCGATCATCCTTCTGTACTTTCTCGTATGAGTCCAGCCCCTGTAACTTGCCTGGATAACTGTGACTGCAGCTCGTTGTTTCCGAAAAGTCCTTTTGCTCAACACTGCTTCCCACCTTTGTTCGATCTTTCTAACGAGGAGTTTTGTGAGGAAATACCTCCCGCGAGCAACAAAGCTTCTCCATGCTGCCTGAATTTTAACTATACAATCAGCCACCTTCCTGTAACGTCCTCTCTGCGTACTTCCTCTATAAAATGCTTGTATGCGCAACACGGCGTTTGTTATTCTCAGCGTAGACGCTTCTTTTCTTGCTTTAAGAAAACTTCGCCATGTCTTTTGAATAATCGTGGCAGCATCGATCTTACGCTTAAGGGACTTCCGAAAGAGAAACCACTTCCAGCAGCACTGAATCTTGCATGCGGCTAGCCTGGCATTAGTGTATATTCGTCTCTTTTTCCAGCCTCGATAACAGCATTGGATACGTATCGCTGAATCATCCAGTCTTTGGATTTTCGTCACCTCTGAGTGAATACAAATCATAAGCGAAACAGAATGCAGGTTATTATGAATGAACTGACCTTCTGATTGAAGTGCATCCTTCAGCACCTGCAGCCAAAACTATCTCATTGTTGTTCAAAACTCAAACAAACACAAATTTTGCAACCTGGAGATCCTCGCAAACAAGCTTTGAGAACATTAGTGCCAAGAGAAAAATCGCATTTTTCTCCATCCAGAAGGAATTTATGGCGCCACCATTACAACATTCTAGCACCTGGAATTGACGCAATTAGCTGCAAGAGGAACTGGCGACATCGTCAAATACAATACCTCTTGCAAAAATCCCATTTTCTTAGTCACATTATACAGTATTTGAAAGTGACAAGGACATCCATTGGACTGTCAAGGAACACCGATTGTTAGTGAAGAGAAATTGTTACGAATTTGAAAGTTATGACCTCTGGAGAGGGCTCGAAGGCTTCTACAGGCAAACATGCCGGAAGATAAAAATTGATAAGGTAGCATGACGCGCGTTCAATAAAAAAAGGCGTCTTGAAGTTTTGTAACTCGAAACCGTATGATTTGCATATCATCTGTAAAAAGAAAAAACTCCGTTCACAGTTGTCTAGAATTTGATATACCTTTCCCCATTTCAAAAGAAGATCAGAAAAGTTCAAAGACGAATAATCAACTGGAAACTGCAATATCATCATTGTGAGAAAACAAAGTACTGCATCCATTAAGTACCTCGGAGCTTTTGCATTCTATGCGAACAATTTCTTGTACAAGCGCCTCCTTGCTTAAAAGATGTGGTATCTGCAGACGCAGCAGTTAGGAAACCAAGAATCGGCAGCGGAAGTAAAAACCTGCACTTGGATTAGAGTGTTCCAGGCAAGGGCGAGCATTATCTCATGGTCCCCGTCAACAATAAAATCCGCAGAAATTGCGTATCCATGTTCGTCTTCGAGAGAAACTCCAGCTCGAGAAAGGATTTCAAGCGCAACGTCACAGTTATGCTTTTGCCGTTTCCTAAGCGTTGGCGGTAGCTGGATTTTCTGCAGTCACGAGTAAAGTCAGAGAAACTTACGAGCACCAACCAACCTTTACACCGGAAGTGTCGCCCGATATTACTTGTGCTAATCTGCACAGTCGAACGCCATCTTGAAAATCTTTGAAACTTGTAATTTGAAAGTTGAACTCGATCAAAGGAGTCTGTAAGAAACTCCATGTCAGTCAACGATCAAGGAAACAGAAAGCTAAAACCTGGAGATGAATCAACCGATAGCCTACAGTGCTCAGATGAGCCATCAGATCTCCTTCTCCATGCATAGCGTTTTTTAAAATATCTGATAGCGCGCAGTTTACTGGTGAGCAGGCTCTATCATTTTGCTTACCTTGCAATGCCTGACGGCTCGACTTGATCACCGAATCTCTACGAAACAAAAGGATTGATCCGCCATCGAGGCCGTCTATACCACGGTCGTTTTGTAGAGCAGTTTGACACTTGAGTCGATCGAGTACTAGAACCAAAATGAGTAGCCGTTTAAGAGTTACCCGTCCAAGAGCCTCGAGATAACCCTGCCGATATAGTCCTTCAACAGTTCTGCGAGACAAAAGTGTCAATGTTGCAGAGTCGAAACATCACTTACTTGTTGGTTGAGTAGCATTTTGCAATTCCAGCATGGACAAAAAATTCCTGCTCGAGCATGCTTTCTAAGTATCTCGCGTCGTTATTGTCAGCGTCGCTTCCGAAACTCAAGCCGAGTACGATATAAAGCCCCAGCTTAAGCCACGGCGGAGAAAAGCCCAAGAGGACATCGACGGCTTTCTTCCGCAGTCCGACGTCAGCAAGAACAGCACAGCCATCTTTCATCCTCAATTTTCCGTCATCTATACGCTGATAAAAGAAAAAGAAAAACGAAAGAACTAAGTTACAATCTCACATTCGATCTTCATACCTTGCCTACTTGAAGCATGATGGAAATAATCTCCTCTCGACATACTGGATCAAACTGCGTGCTCAGACGTTGCCGGAAACTTGATAGAGTAAACAGTGTTCGCAGGCTATCATTTTCCTTTCCCGTCAAAGCACTTCCTCTAGCTTCCCCGTTGGATCTGAAAGACGTTGCTTGCTCTAGTCCTGTGTCCAAGTTTCCCGAATCATTCTTTTTAATCTCCTCCAAGTTGCCAACTTGTGGTGTCACTACACCAGCCTTCTTTACCGCCTGTTCCAGAACAAGATTGAACCAGCTCACGTAAAGCTTTTCCTGCGACCGTAGCGAGTTCTCTCTCTTCGCGACCATTGCTTCAGGATAGTCGACTGGCTTGTTTTTCTTCTTTCCGGACAGAGGTGGCCGCAAGACCGCTTGCTTCGATCGGAGAGGCTTGGAAGCTGTTCGTGACGACGTTTTCTCAAAGTCGATCGACGGCGAGTAAGGGAATAGAACATTATTTTGCCTGTTGCTTGCCTTCAAGGGTGTGATTTGCGACGACAACGAGCTCCGCAAGCGTGGGGGCAGCAGTGGTCCAGGCGGGAGGGAGACACAAATGATCTTGCTATGAAAATTCTCATCGTTCTCGCACGCCTGTGGAGCAGCTTCTTTCGGCTTATCAATCTGCGTCTTGTCAGCGCGAGAAATCCTGCCCCTGGTGGACACATTCCCGCCCGGCGACGTGAAAACCAGCGGACTCTGGCACCAGAGGATGAAATCCGCGTCGAGCCTCGGATCTTGGCGCTTGGAAACCGGCGTATCCATCAAATCCCTCTAAGTTCCCCTGATTCGCAGTCACATATCTCCTGATTCTCCAAAAGGAGAGAAATGGACCTCTAGTACCTCACAGATGCGATCGTCCTCCTTCGATCGCCATCGCCATCGCTTCTTCACAATATGACCGTTAGACCTAAAACCGCAGCCGTTCGATCTACTCTGCCAATCGAACGGTCCAAAATTCGAATGTTTGGGTTTAACCAGGAATATGCTTAAATAAGATATATACGAAGAATATACTCGTCATTTGGAATCAAAAGAGGGTCACAATGGACTGGACTAACGCATTGGGCATGGAGAAAAATGGGGAATGGTCTGAATTGAGCTCCAAAACCTTGAGTGGAGGAGTCTGCTTGATCATCTCCTCCTGGATTTCCAGTGGAATGGTTTTGTCCTTCTTAGCTTTGATGTAATAGCGAGGAACTTTGCCATAGTTTGCAACAGTGAAGCTCACAGTGGGATCAAAGTATGGGAATGGTTTTAGTATCGACTTGGCAAGAACAAAGTCCTGGAATTCAGCTGTTTTAGAAACTTTGTTTGAAGCTCCTGATAGTTACCTGTGGAGGAGATCTCTGGTATAGCATTTCTCGGGCATGCTCGGGCTTAAATGAGCCAGCAGTAACAGAACCATTTCTAAACGAAAGTGTGAATTTGTCTCCAAGTCCTTGCGCGATCTTTCAATGAGATTTAGATTCATTAGCAAGCAATCTAAGATCCAAAGTTATGGATGCTTACCTTGTTGTAAATGCTAAGGGCTTGAGATCCATTGCTAGGGAGCATAATAGCAGTAACATAAACAGCTCCAGAGATTTTCTGGGGGAATCTTTCCATAGCATATGTAAGAGAAATTCCCCCTAAACTATGTCCGACCAAGATCACCTGCAAGAATGATAGAAAATTAACGGGAACTTCTCAAAGTATACCTTGTCGTTTGCTGGCAAAGACTCGAGCAATTCGATCAAAGAGACAGAGTAAGCCTCCAGGCTACCGACGGTTTTTGCATCCACGCCGTTGGTCCCAGCGCTGGTTAAATCCACAGCATCCACACTGTGGCCCTCTTGTTCCAGCTTGTGTGTGACTTTGTACCAACACCAGGCACCGTGGCCAGCTCCATGAACTAAAACAAAATGGAGCTTCTTAGGAACCTTTTGCTCTAGTTTGACACCATGGGCGACCAAAACATCACAAGATGAAATGTAATAGAGCACAATCCAAGTGATGAGAACGATCAAACTATGATCAGACATTGTAAATTCTGTACAGGCATTTAGGCTTTAGCAAGGTTTTCTATGCTGGCTAAAAAATACAGTGTTCCTCGTGCATGTCGTCAGTTGGCTTTGACTGCCACATAGGGTATTATCTTGACTTTGTTTGAATCATTGAATTTACATGATAGAATGAACTAAGCTCTTGTGCTTTAAGAAAAATGGAGAGTGGTCTGAATGAAGCTCTAGAACCTTAGCGGAGATGTCTGTTTATCATACACTCTTGACTGTCCAGTGGAATGGTGAAATCTTTTGTGGCTTGATAAAGTAAGGAACACTTCATAGTTTGCTGCGGTGAAGATCACGGTAGGGTCAAGAAACGGGAATGACTTTAAAATTGATTTGGCGAGGACAACATCCTGTAAGTGATTTCAAAGATGGGAATCATGAAGGAGAATTGAAATGATGCATTCTTATCACCTCTGGAGGAGATTTTGGATATAGAAGTTGTCGAACGAACTAGCAGCAGGTATTGAAGAGGAGCCTTTACGAAATAGAGGTGTGATATATGCTTCTAAATCATACAAATCTCCCATGGCTTAGTGTTAATTACATGGCTGTAGTTTAGTTAATAATAATATGATTCAGTACCTTGAATTGCATTAAGCGCAGTTACAAAAAAAGATCCAGCAACTCTCTTGGAAACTTTCCATGGCATATGTAAGTGAAAGACCTGTGAAATCACCTCGATATCTCATACAGTTTACAGAAAATGAAATATGTGTGATTACCTTTTCCTTTGAAGCAGTCGGACCAAAGAATCCGATTAAGTCTCCAACTTATCCACTGTAAGTACATCCATACCAGTCGTTGCAGCGCTAGTTAAGTGCAGCGGATCCACTTTGTGGCCCTGTTCCGCAAGCCCTTGTGTGTACCGGATTCATGGTTGCTTGCTTGTGCGAGGATAGCACAGGTGTGAGGAGAATCAAAGAGATAATGAGGTGAACCATTTGAGCTATACAAATTTTGCCACTATAGACGAACCGTATAGAAGAACCTTGTGGAAGAGCGTAGAAAAATCGGGTGAACTATATCATCACTAGTCGTTCAGAAGTCATTGTTGGAAAAGACTTCTAATTTTTTTTTACTGGAACATTTTGACTTTGACACGGACTTCTTAAAGATGTACATTACATTATTACATGCTTTTAAATCCTCATTATACGATTAAGCCAGAGACAATAGCAGCTTCACTAACGCAAGTGGGGTGGAGAAAAATGGCGAGTGATCACTGTCAAGCGTTAAGACTTGGAGTGGAGGGTTCTCGTAAATCATTTGCTCTTGACGTGCCCGTAAAATCGTTCGATCCTGAAGAGTTTTGATGAAGTAACGAGGAACATGTCCATAGTTGGCAGAGGTGAAGTTCACAGCAACATCGAACAGCGGGAATGGCTTAAGCAGTGATTTCGCCAAAACAACATCCTACTTACAGTACGTAAAAGTATCTGTTAATGAAAACTTCTAAGCTTTGTTTGTTTACCTGTGAAGGAGATTTTTTATATAGCACTTGTTGGGCGCGGTCTAGTTTAAATGCAGCAGCCGAAGGTACCGTGGAGCCATTTGAAAATATCAGTGTCAAGCTGCCGGGAGTTCCCTTTCATAATGAAAGCGACTAAAATAAAAAAACTAACAATCAAAATAATTACCGGCTGGTTGAAGATCTCCCGAGCCCGAGTTGCATTGTGAGAAAACATAAAAGCAGCGAGATAAACAGCTTTGGAGATTCGGCTAGGCATTTTCTCCAAGGCGTATGTAAGCGTGATTCCTCCCGAGCTATGGCCAACCAAGATCACCTGAAAGTTTCAATAGAAGCGAGAAACTCAAATTCCCCCAAAAAACTTACACAACTTACTGTGTCATTCACGGACTCAAGCATCTGGATCAAGGGAGCCGAATACCTCTCCACGCTACCAACGGTGGTAGCATCGACACTGCTCGTTCCAGCACTGACCAAATCCAAGGTGTCCACTTGGTGGCCAGATTGTTGCAATGCATTCGCGATTTTGTACCAGCACCACGCACCATGGCCAGCTCCATGAACAAGAACAAAATGGTGTTTCTTGGCATCCACAATTTTACCAGAGACTGGGAACTGGAGAAGAAAGAGAACAACTATGCCAAGAATGCCGCAATCCATCCCATAGCCCTGTTGATCCAAGAAGCAATCTGAGTCTTACAAAGATTGTTTAAGTTGAAAAACTTGCGAGTATATAAGAATATACTTTATTCGATAGCGAGTATTTTTTAACCTTAGGTATATTCGTTTGTGGAACTGATAGTTAGCTTACCTGTGAAGGAGATCTGCATTTCTCTGGTGCTCTAGCTTAAATGAGCCGGCAGTAATTCCAAACAAAAGTGTCTCCAGGTCCTTGGGCGATCTTTCAATGAGATCTAGATTCAGTAGAAGCAATAGATGCAAAGATATAGATGCTTATCGAAGGGGCCAAGTAGTTTTCCAGGCTACCGACTGTGGTTGCATCCACGCCGTTGGTCCCGGTGATCAGTTAAATCCATAGCGTCCACCCCCTCTTGTTCCAGCTTGTGTGTGACTTTGTCCGGTTCCATGCACTAAAAGCTTTCTGAAACTTTTGCCCATGGGCGATTAAAACATCACAGGATGAAGCGTAATAAAGTGATGAAAACGATCAAACTATGATTAGACATCAGGTATTTTGTAATAAGCCGGCCTAGAAATACAGTGACTGCCACAAGCTTGACTTTCTTTACTTTTTGACAAAATCTTTGACCACTGACATGATAGAGTGAACTAAGTTCTTGGGCATTGAAAAAAATGGAGAGTGGTCTGAATGAAGCTCTAGAACCTTTTGCGGAGGATTCTGCTTGATCATGTCCTCTTGACGTCCCAGTGGAATGGTGCGATCTTTCGTGGCTTTGATAAAGTAGCGAGGAATACTTCCATAGTTTGCTGCAGTGAAGCTCACGGCAGGGTCAAGAAACGGGAATGGCTTTAGAATCGATTTGGCAAGGACCACATCCTGTAAGTTGGAGAAAGATTACAAAGGAGAATTGACAACAGTAAAATTTATTACCTCTGGAGGAGATTTTTGGTACAGAAGTTGTCGAGCAAACTGTAGCTTGAACGAAGAAGCAGCAGGTGTTGAAGAGGAGCTATTACGAAATAGAGGTGTCATATATTTTTGTAAACCTTGAGTAATCTGTAATATAGAATTATAAAATAGTAATAATTATTATTATTATAGTACCTGGCTGTAAGCTCCCCGAGCTTGAGTTGCATTCGAAGATAGCATAAGCGCAGTTACGAAAAAAGATCCAGAAATTCTCTCTGGAAACTTTTCCATGGCATATGTAAGTGAAAGACCTGCTAGACTATGCCCAACTAAAATCACCTGGAAATTACACTTTACAGTCATTCCTTGATAAAATAGATGTGTTACCTTTTCCTTTGATGGAAGTGATTCAAGCAGTTGAACCAGAGGACCCGAGTAAGTCTCCAAGCTATCCACTGCAAGTGCATCCACACCACTCTTTCCAGCGCTGGTTAAATCCAGTGCATCCACTTTGTGGCCCTGTTCCTCAAGCTCTTGTGTGACTTTATACCAGCACCATGCTCCATGGCCAGCTCCATGCACTAGAACAAAGTGGAACTTATTGGAATCCTGGGTACTTGCTTGTGTGAGGATAGCACATGCGAGGAGAATCCCAGAGATAAAGAGATGAACCATTTGTGCCACTAATGTATAGAAGAACCGTATAGAAGTAGAAGAGCGTAGAACAGATGGGTGAAATATATTGTCACCAAGTCGTTCAGAAGTCTTTGTTGGAGAGGACCTCTAGTCTTTTTGACTGTCACTTTTTGACTTTGACTTACTTGACTATTGACTGGAACTTACTGCTTGCTTGTGCAAGGATAACAGAGGTGAGGAGAATAATGAGATTTGAGTTAAGGGCCAACCCATCAAAAGTTTTAAGTGTACGAGGGGAATTTTTTTCGTATATATGGAATTCAAAAACCATAACATGGAGTTTTAGGCAACTAAGCTCTTGTCTGGTAAGCTTTTCAAGCTTGGATGTTTGGCTTCCTCCTTGGGCTCTTGTTGAAGAATCTGTTTGTTCTATATTTTTGCATAACTATTTCAACTTTTTGAAGTTTTTCCTGTAGCAAGTCCAACTTATTTATTTGTTCATTTTCTTTTTCTTTCTCTCCAACTTTTGTGCTTCTTTCACTGCTGTTGTTTGTAAGTTGAAATTCTCCCATTAGCTCTTCTAATCAAACAATCTCCTGCATAAACTTCCTCAATTTTTGTGGCCTTTGCTGGCAGTAATGTATTCTAAGTTGTTCCATAGGGAATAGAGAAGAACCTCTACCTGTCCCATGTTTGTAATTACTGTTGAGTTTACGTGAAAAATAACATTTGTGAGCTGAGCCATAAATTTCTTTCATTGTTGGCTAGTGAGGGGGAAATTTTCTTAGTGGCCATTTCCTCCCAGCGGTCCGCCTGTCAACCTATTGACTATCTCTGACTTCAGTCGATTTAAGAATATTTAAATATTGTACTATAAACTTTTTTATTACTATTATATCTCCATAAATTTTAAAAGGAATATAACGAGAATCCAAAACTATTTTGTCAAGCTTTGAGCAGGCAAGTAAAAAGATGATACAATATGACGTGTATGCTCCACCAGGACAGAGATAACTAGAGCGTAGTCTCAAGCACTTGTTCCTGCGGTATAAAGCAAGCAAAAGTCTTTCAAGTAGAAAAGATCAAAGCGAAAGCTTACCGGCTTTGTGATTGAAAACTGGTTCATGATATCCATGCATTGTCGGTCTTGTCCTTTTTTGCTATGACTCCAGCAGCGCTTGGAGACGATTCATTGGAAGGAGCCGGAGGCTGGGAAGGCCTTCTTCTCTCGTGACAGAGCTTGAAACATCAAGCACATCCGTCGTCGTTGGCGATTAAGATCCTGACCATAAAAGCGGGATATATGTTCTCCAAGAAAAAGCATTCAGTTAAATGCGTAAGAGCACCAAATACTGAGTGTACAATGAGCAACATATCGACAATTCCTTGTGTATGTGAGGAAAAACACATACCAGCGGCAAGTTTGTATGAGATTCCAAGCTCTATAGCTGCAAAACCAGAGATCCAACGCAGTGATGAGACAAGATGCTCTCGAAGTATGACGTGGTGCTGACAGGCACACGACATTACCATGGAAAATTCAGCAAAGAGAAAAGATCGACACCTGGGGATCAGAATGCGCCCAAGCCCAAGCTACACGTGGCAAAATCCAAAACACCCATGACGAGAACGTCTCCCATGTATGGCAAATCCGGGACTTTCGATTCCATGCGCGGGACCCAACGACGCTAGTTTTTGATCGAATTCCAGTGTGGGACGTGGTTTGCTTAAATTCCATTGTCATGGAATGTGATTATTTCGGCGTATGGAGATTTTCTCGAAGCAAAGAAGCTATTCGATAGGATGGAACGAGATTCTCACAACAAAAGACTGATCAATCCAGACTCGACGATCGTTGCGCAGAGATCTTGATGAAGCACGAAAGTTCTTTGCGAGGACGACACCGTGTCATGAGCAACACTTACCAACTCATTTGCGTAGCATGGCTGCACTATTCTAGCAAAATAAACATTTACAAGGATGTCAAACTGCGATCAATCTCTTTGATTCAATGACCGTTTTTCTAACAAAGACAATACTCGTCAAGGAAAGAAGAGAAAGAACAAAAACGAGAAAGGAGAAAAGCTCGAGATTAACAATTAGTTCTTCGCTATGTTTTTCTTCTGTGATTTTCACAAGATTTCTTGCAAGGTTTAGGGTTTAGGGAGGAGCTCTTGTTCCTCAGAGCTCACTGTAGCAATCGTTCCAGCAATCGAGCTCCACCTTTGTCTTGCGTGGAACTACCGGTTCTGGAAGCTCTCGGCGGTTTCCAGGCCTCCGCAGCTGGCGTACATGTCGAGCAGTGCGGTTGTGAGCACTGCATTGTCTTCCAGACCACCGGTCTCTGGTAGAGGAGCTTGCCTTGCACTGGAGCTGGAATGCTCGAGCAGGCACTCCATCTGTAAGCAGTGACGCCATCCAGCTGCATTCTCACGAAGAGCGACAGAGTCATCTCCAGATCCCCGGCTTGGGCGTGAGCCGAGACGATGGACGTCCAGGAGCTCACGTTCTTGCTCGCCATCTTTCAAAAATTTCCCGAACGCCCTCTAGTCTCCCAAGCTTGGTGTTCAGGAGCGAGTGCCACAAGGGTATGTTGGAAGCAAACTTGCTCTCTTCGATCAGTTGAGTGGCAATTACTTCTGGAAGATCTTTCTGACCAGAGCAAGCAAGAGCGAAGCAGAGAAATCAACAGTGACGCAAGTCACCGGAGATGGCTTTACTCGATCCAGCTCCATCCGTGTCAACAGCAACAACGCCTCGACAAAATGCCTATTCTGCGCAGAAGCAGAGACCACGAGAAAAGATCTCTGTTCCAGATGCCCGCAAACACTTTAAATGCTAGATCAAGCTTGCCTGTAGTATCGTGTTTCCCACGAACTGGTCTTCAGCGCCTCGCGGAAACAAAGTTGTGCACGCGACGAATTTGTGCTAGACTATTCTCTTGTACGGACCATTTGAGAAGAGACACAGAGGCTCTCGACACTGCCGGGTTGACATCCACGGTTCGCGACTGATCTCCATATCTTCGCTTCCATCCAGGTCTCCATGAACTTGGCATTCACAGATTCGAATCCGCTGCAAACTCATCTAGCAGGATCGATGTATCCCATGACCAAGGAGCAAGCTCTAAACCAAGAACTCCCCAAGAACAATCTGTGGTCCTCCCCAATCAAAAATGGCTTGCGCTGGCTGTTCCCGGTGAGCCCATCCGCAAACTTGTAGAGGCAATCTGTATAACATTTCTAGGGTTATATGGCAATAGCTTTCGTTCTTATCATGGTCAACTCTTTAAAGTCTTGAATCTGGAAGGCTTCATGGGATCGCTTGCTGCCCGACACGTTGGCTTCAATGGTTTCTGACTAAGATCTAAGCCTGTTTTAAACCCTAGAATGCAAAAGGCTTATAGATATGCGCCATTCTTCAAATAAATTGCTTATTTTGGTGCCACAAGGGATCTTGTTATTAAGCCAGAGACAATAACAACCTCACCAAAGAATGTGGGGTGGAGAAGAATGGCGAGTGATCACTGTCAAGCGTTAAGACTTGGAATGGAGGGTTTTCATGAATCATTTGCTCTTGACGCGCCCGGAAAATCGTTCGATCCTGAAGAGTTTTGATGAAGTAACGAGGAACACGTCCATAGTTGGCAGAGGTGAAGTTCACGGCAGCATCGAACAGCGGGAATGGCTTAAGCAGTGATTTCGCCAAAACAACATCCTACTTACAGTACGTGAAAGTATCTGTTAATGCAAACTTCTAAACTTTGTTTCTTTACCTGTGAAGGAGATTTGTTATATAACACTTGTTGGGCGCGGTCTAGATTAAATGCAGCAGCCGTAGGTACCATGGAGCCATTTGAAAAGATCATTTTCAAGTTGCCCGGAGTTCCCTTTCATAATGAAAGCAAAAAACATAAAATATAAAAATAAACATAGCCAATAAAAATAATTACCGGCTGGTTGAAGATTTCCCGAGCCCGACTTGCATTGTGGGAAAACATAAAAGCAGCGAGATAAACAGCTTTGGAGATTCGGCTAGGAATTTTCTCCAAGGCGTATGTAAGCGTGATTCCTCCTAAGCTATGTCCGACCAAGATCACCTGAAAAAGCGAGAAACTCAAATTCGCCCAAAAACTTGCACAAACTTACTGTGTCATTCAGAGAGTCAAGCATCTGGATCAAAGGAGCCGAATAATTCTCCACACTACCAACAGTGGTAGCATCGACACTGCTCGTTCCAGCACTGACCAGATCCAATGTATCCACTCGGTGACCGGATTGTTCCAACTCATTCGCGATTTTGTACCAGCACCACGCACCATGCCCAGCTCCATGAACAAGAACAAAGTGGTGTTTCTTGGCATCCACCGAGAATGGGAATTGGAGAAGAAAGAGAACAAATATGCCCAAGAAAACCGCAATGCATCCCATCACAGAGAGAGAGGGAGAGAGAGAGAGAGAGAGAGAGAGAGAGAGAGAGAGTAGAAATGTAGTTGACGTGCATACCTTTTAAAACTTATGCGGTCCCATGCAAAAGAGAGTAGGAATGTAGGTGACGCACATACCTTTCAAAACTTATGGTCCCATGCAAGACCACAGAGAGAGAGAGAGGAATGTAGATGACGCGCATACCTTTTAAAAACTTATGCGGTCCCATGCAAGACCAAAGAGATCTAGTTTGACTTTAAAAAGAATATACTTAAACTTAATATATTTTTTACGAATATTCATTTGGGGCCGTCCATCAGCCGATTCGAAGAGCCAATTGAACCAGTTCAAGCAAGAGCATACTCACGCAACGATGCCATGGAAAAGACCACTCCTACCTTTCAAGAGAGGAGATGTGGTAGTTGCGATGCTCAATTCTTTCGAGGAGGAAAAGCCTAGTTGCTTGACGATAAAAGACTCTCAGTTGCAAGCTTTGGAAGCTTTGGAACGTTGTCGGCCGAAGGCCTTGCAAACTAGCTTAAGGACGTCCACGGCCTCCAAGAAGATTTCCTCCTTGTTTGTGCTAACAAGTGATGGTTTGGCTTGGCTACATTGTCACACAGTCTCTTAGAGCTGTTGAAGGACTATTATATATCAGCAGAGTTATCACGAGGCTCTTGGACTGCTGATTCTACTCATTGTGGTTGTAGTACTCGATCGACTCAAATGTCAAACTGCTCTGGTATGGCGGATCAAATTCTGTTCGCAGAGATTGGTAAACAAACAAAGATTTAGACTTTTATTTGCTTTTATTAACAGATATTTAACTGTAACTATGGACGTGTTCCTCGTTACTTCGTCAGAACTCTCCTGGATCGAGCGCAGTGGCTCGTCAAGAGTAAATTTCACGAAAACCATCTATTCCAAATCTTAACACTTGGCACTCGCCATTTGCTTTAGTGGGGTTGCTATTGTCTCTGCTATGGAATAATCCAGCAAGAAGTTCGTGTCCAAGCGAAAAAGCTCCGGTCAGGAAAAGGCTATAGACAATAACTTCTGAACAACTAGTGACCATATATTTCACCACATTTTCAATACTTCTATACAGTTTTTCTTGAGTGGCAGAATTTGTATTGCTACAATGGTTCATCTCTTTATCTATTGGATTCTCCTTGCCTGCGCGATCCTCGCACAAGCAAGCAACCAGGAATCTAGTAAGTTCCACTTTGTTCTAGTGCATGGAGCTGGCCATGGAGCATGGTGCTGGTATAAAGTCACACAAGAGCTTGAGAAACAGGGCCACAAAGTGGATGCACTGGATTTAACCAGCGCTGGAAAGAGTGGTGTGGATGCACTTGCAGTGGATAGCTTGGAGACTTACTCGGTTCCTTTGGTTCAACTGCTTGAATCACTTCCACCAAAGGAAAAGGTAATACATCTATTTTATCAAGGAATGACTGTAAATTGTATGAAATTTCCAGGTGATTTTAGTTGGGCATAGTCTAGCAGGTCTTTCACTTACATATGCCATGGAAAAGTTTCCAGAGAGAATTTCTGGATCCTTTTTTGTAACTGCACTTATGTTCACTTCAAACGCAACTCAAGCTCGACAAGATTTCAACCAGGTACTGAATCCTGAATCATATTATTATTTTGTCATTTTATAATATTCCATATTGCAGATTTTTCAAGGAATTCAACCATATATCACACCTCTATTTCGCAATGGCTCTTCTTCAACACCTGCTGCTGCTTCCTTCCGGCTAGAGTTTGTTCGAAAAGTTCTGTACCATAAATCTCCTCCACAGGTGATCGTACTATGTCAATGCTCCTTCGTAATCTTTTCTATCATTACAGGATGTTGTCCTCGCCAAATCGATTCTAAAGCCATTCCCGATTCTTGACCCTGCGGTGAGCTTCACCGCAGCAAACTATGGAAGTGTTCCTCGCTACTTTATCAAAGCCACGGAAGATCGCGCCATTCCACTGGAAAGGCAAGAGGACATGATCAGGAAGACTCCTCCGTTCAAGGTTCTAAAGCTTCCTTCAGACCACTCTCCATTTTTCTCAATGCCCAAGAGCTTAGTTCACTCTATCATGTCAGTGCTCTAGCTCAAGAGACCAATTCAATGTCTCAAACAGTGCAAAGTTTTTTAAACTGTAACGAATATACTCCGAATATCCGTTTAGGGTTCTTGAGCAAAATGGGGAAGCTGGGCAGGATCTATCATCCCGGGTGCTCACAGGGCGATGCCAAGACGTACGCGCTGGCGATCGTCCGTGCGATCCAGGAATGCGGCGCGCTTACGTCGCATCAGCTGTGGGATCACGCCCAGGCCGAGGGGATTCGCACCAAGCGCCAACTAAAGCAATTCCTGCGGTGGATGAAGCAAGAGCACCTGGTGAGCACCGTCGAGCTTCCAGCCCATGGCGACAACCGCGTCTACAAGCTCCCGGACAGGATCCGCGACGATGCCATCTCTGGGGTGAGCGCTGCGGCGGGGAGGATCGAGACGCCGGAAAAGGAGTACAAGATTGATCTTGGCGAGATCTGGCTCAAGAACAATCCTCGCGAGCAGCTAACCAAGTACGAGCTCCGCCTCCAGGCGCGAGAGGAGAGGCGCGGCCTAGCTCCACTCATGCCTTTCTGGGATATTTGAGACAAGAGATCTGGTAGTTGCGATGCTCGATTCTTGTCGAGGAGAAAAAAATCTAGTTGCTCGACGATGAAAGACTCTCGCCTGAGATCTTGGAAGAACTTGCGCAAGTCAGTATGATATGAAAGAGAAACGAAAGAGAAGCTTCTCACCTTTGTTTTACTGGCTGGAAGTCTCGGTCCGGAATGTCTCTGCTGTGTTGCTCGATCCTCCAGTGTTGCTGCTGTGATCGAGCAACCTGAGGTTCCTGAGGCCAAAGTACCAGGGTGATTTTGTCGGGAGAGGGGCGAGCTTGAGGTAGCCAAGAAACATGGCCACGACTTCGCTCATGCTCGGCCGACTCGCCTCGTCTTCGTGCGTGCACAGCAGAGCAATGTGAATCGATCGCAGGGCCTCGGTTTGCGAGTAATTTTTCGATCGTAAGAGTTCCTTATCCACGATCTCTTCCACATTTCCGCCTGGGTGAAACGACCATAACTGTGCAGGAAAAGGAAAACTTTTAAGTTCGTGCTTGAAAACTTTGCTCGAGACATACCCATTCTAGGATCCCATCGTAGTTCGGTGATAATCTGGGATCCCGGCATTTCATCCCGCAGATGATCTCTAGAAGGAGCACCCCAAAGCTGAAAACATCAGCTTTTACTGTTAATCGTCCGCCCATGGCATACTCTGGTGCCATATATCCACTGCAAACAGCCAAAGTTGAGAAACAAAAAAACTCATACTTTACAGATTCTATACGTACTAGGTACCCGCAATTTTTGTATCCACTGAGGTCCTGTCTTGATCAAAGAGCTTCGAGATTCCAAAGTCTGAGATCTTAGGCGTCAGGTCTTTGTCGAGAAGTATGTTGCTAGCCTTTATATCCCGGTGAATTATCTGTATCTGAGACTCCTCGTGGAGATAAGCGAGTCCCCGTGCAACTCCAATAGCAATATTGTATCGAGTTGGCCAGTCAAGGACAATCTTGCCATTGGAATCTTGCAAAGATCAGGCCGTCAGCAGCAGCAAACATTCTCAAAGAAAAAAGACTTACTGGTTAGAGTACGATCAAGGCTCCCGTTGGGAAGATACTCGTAGACTAGCAATCTTTCATCGCCTTTGACGGAGTAGCCTCGCAGCCTGGTAAGGTTTCGATGCTGGATGCCGGTGATGATGTTAACTTCATTTACAAACTCCTGATTTCCTTGGCTAGAATGTAGAGACAATTTCTTCACTGCTACTTCAGATCCGTCAGTCAGAACACCCTACAATACGACAAAGATAAATCATATTTTTCATAACACAAGATTTACAATTACCTTGTATACTGGGCCAAATCCTCCTTGACCAAGCTTGTTTTGCTCGCCGAACTCCTTCGTTGCAAGCTTTAGCTCCTCATAATCGAAAGTGAGAGATCGTCCTTCAAAACTATCTGAAAAGCCAGGAACATTAATTGAAAATCACAGGCAAGTTTCTTATACCTCCAAATTCTCCATGTTGCCGCAGTGACGAGCTCTGATCATCCAAACGCCGATTTTGACGACTTTTCGTCCGGAAGCAAAATACTAAAACCCCGACAGCAGCAGCCAAGGCTGCTACAGCACCGGCAGTTACCCCCACAATCACTCCTGTTCTCGAGGAGCTACCTTGAAATATAGAAAACGTTGTTTGAGTGTTACCAGTATATTTACTACTTCTATACCTTTGCGAGCTTCCGGGATTTCTGGAGGGATGGCTACTGGAGTTACCGCGGGCGACAAGTCTCCTGGCAGCTCATAACCTTCAAAAGAGAAAAACAACAATCTTTTAAGATGGAAGAACAAAAACTTCGTACAAACCTGGGATGAAATTGTAGTTCTCGAAGCGGAGGTAGCATCTATAGCTACTGCTGTTCACCCAATACTGCGCACCCACGGTGAGAGGAGCTGCTTCATCGATCCCATCCCTGGCAATGTTGAAACACTGGCCGCAATCTCCCTGGGACATGTTGTAGCACTCGCAGTAGCCAAAGACTGTGTCGGGATACTTGCCAAAGCCATAGCTCGCGGAGTCATTGCGAGGAACGGTCTTGAAGAGAAAGCCAAGAACCACATCGAGGTTTAGCTTGAAAGCGCTGCCTGGAGTGGTCTTGCGCGTGTTGGAGTAGACGATATTGGGGGAAATGCCCGAAGGCACGCTCGCAAAAACCCCGCGGCACAGGAACACGAGCAAGAACACAGCGACAGCCCTCCTCTCCATCTTCAAGAACAAAGAAGATTTCGTCGATCGATCGATCGAACTGGAGTACTATACCTCGAAATATCACCGCCGCCTACATTCGCCAGGCTCCATCGATGCCGCGATCGCCGCCGCCGATCGGCGCTGTGCGCGATAAGATCTCCCGCCGCCGCCGCAAGAACAAAACCTACGACGACAACGCTGGAGGAAGTGCCCGGCATTTTCTTTCTTTTCTAGTCGGTTGTCAGCTACAATACTAGTATTTTAAAGGGCTCGTTGACGGAATCTCACAAGAGTAACAGAATATCCAAGACTAGTTAGTTAACAGAATATCCACATTTTGCGATTAGAATCTTCCTAGATAGTTTGTTGTTAGCTATCCAGTGACAAGGCGGGGTTGAGGCGGTAGCATGCACGAGTATGTCACGTACTTGACGCTGTCCACCAAAACCACCACGAAAATTCGAGCCAGATCTTTCGATCCAGTCGATGGAACTTGCTTTGGATTGAAGATCGAGACGACCATCGAGGACGGCCGCTGGCTCTTCTCAGAGAAATTGCCTCCTCCTCCTGTGGAACTGGAGTTGAATTGCTTACCTCCTCCTGGCGAGGACGACGATGGTCCTGGCGGAAGAGGCACCGCCGAGAGATTCCTGCGGTAGCTGCCGCTTCTCTTCGCAGAAGTCGTCGGGGATTCCTGCGGGGGCCGAGGTTCCGGACTTATCTCGAACTGGAACACCTCGTTGCAAGCACCAGTGCTGAAAGGTGTGCCTGGAAAGACGACCAAGTTGTTAGTTAGCGCGAGATGTTCTTGCAAGACTTTACCTGCGAGATCATTCAAAATCTTTCGCTGAGGATCGTCGGTATCAACGTCGCTGGGTGGAAGCGCTCGAAATGCTATATCCTGGAACACTCCCGAGTTCAAGAGCGCTGGAGCGTGACTTGCACCGCTACGCTGAGCAGCGGTCGAAGTGGGAGAAGTGGAAGCTGACGAGTCCCTGCTGCTCGCAACGAAAACGCTCGCGGCTTTGTCCCCGGCCATCACTGCTTGGATGACGAGATCGCCATCTACTTTCACTACTTGGTTGTCGCGAGGGAACAGCAGCGACGCCGGAAACCGCTGAGTTGCGTTGCCATACGTGCTCACGTTAGCCGGAAACATACTCCCATCGATCACCGCTCCACTCTTGTCCTGCCGCTCACACTTGCTCTCTAGCTTGTAACCATCCCCTGGAGACCAGGCCAGCTTCGAAGATTCGTTGCGCTCGTCCTCCAAGCCCATCAAAACTCTACCACCTATCCTGGCTTGTGCTGGATCCGACGAAACGTAGGCCCGAATCTGTCCAGTTCTCTGCGTCACCGGTATTCCCAGATCGAGAGGGAACACCAGCGCCATCACACAAAGCAACCCGAGAGCCGCCACACTCGCCAACTTCTTCGTTTTCCCAGAAGCTGTGGAGGACGTCGACGATGGTTTCTTCGTGGAATTCTCGTCTTTGGAAACCTTGGCACGCTTCACGCTCTTCACCGCCGAAGCTTGCGTCTTGAGTCGCGGGATCGGCACTGGAGGAGCACTGCTCCCGGGACGAAGAACGTATCCTCCGGGATACTGATACACCGGCATTCCCATGGGAGGAGGAGGAGCGTAAGCTCCCGGCTTGCCACCACCATTCCTCGAGTGATAGTAGTACGCGAGCTGGTTGCGAAGATTCACATTCTCGGCGCTGATGAGACTCACCGTGTTGTTAAGCTCGGCCACCGTCGCGTTGAGAGTCCGGACCCTTTCTTCCAGATCGTCCACATACGCTTTCTTTCTCTGCCGAGATAGCTGCGCGCTCTCCCTGTTACGCATCAACCTGGCCTTCCTTTTCACCTCTTCATCGTCGCCGCCATCGCCCTCTTCTTGCTTCTCCTCCTGGGCGTACTCTACCTTGCGCTTGCCAAGCCTCTTGATCGGGCGGCTCGAGTTGGATTCTCCCGATGAGCTGGGCTTGTTGCTGTCGGATCCGGCCTCCTCGTCCTTGATAGTCTCCTCGCGGCTGGAGCTATTGCTGTGCTGCGTGATGGCGCTGCTGGGAGATCCCGTGGCCTCTTTCGGGAATGGCGGCCCCTCGAGAAATTCCGGCAGGAAATCCCCCAGAGAAGCTGAATCGCAGTCATCCAGAGGCGAGGAATTCTCCAGAAAGAGCGAGACCCAGTCCTGATCGTCCAGATTCTCTAGATCCTCTGGGAAATCTGCTGGATCGGGAAGATCCAAGAGCTCTGCATCTAGTGCCATGGCCAAACCTCGATCGAGCACCGTGCCGGTCAAATCACGCCATCGTTCGCTCCGAACCCTAACACTCGGGAATGAAATTCCTAGGCATATTTGCATATTCCAATGCCAGTTAATCTGGGCCGCTGGATCTCATGGGCGGCATGACAGCCGTCGATCCTCCCGCGCTTGTCCTCTTCCAAGAGGAGTCCGCCATCGCCCGCGCCGTCAAGGAATGCGCCAGGCTCAAAGATCTCTCCAAGGCTCGCCGATTGGAATCGCTCGTCCAGCGCAGCGAGGAGCATGGATCCAGCAGATACCTCGCGAATTTGCTGGTGGAGATGTTTGGGAAATGCGGCAGCGTGGAGGACGCGCGCGCCGTTTTCGACCGGATCGAGCAGCCCAATGTCTTTTCCTGGAGCATCCTTCTCACGGCATATGTCCAGAACGGCGATCTGCGAGAGGCGGAGATGGTCTTCGATCGAATGCCCGATCGCAATGTCTTCTCCTGGACGACCATGATCACTGGCTACGCTTCCAGTGGCGATGTCGATCGCGCGAAGAAGATCTTCGACCGGATGCCAGAGCCCAATGTCGTCTCCTGGACGGCGATGCTCACAGCGTACTCGCAGAACGGGCTCATCAAGGAAGCGGCCGATCTGTTCGAATCCATGCCCGAGAGAACGATCGTCTCGTGGAACGCGATGCTAGCGGCGTTCGCCAAGAATGGATTCGTGGACGAGGCAAGAAAACTCTTCGATTCAATGAAGCTGCGAGACACTGGATCTTGGAACATCATGCTCGCAGCATATGCCCAGAGTGGGCATCTTGGAGAGGCCGATAAGATCCTCTCTCAGATGCTCGATGTGGATATGGTTTCCTGGAACACGATGATAGTCGCGTATGGAAACACTGGAGACATGGCTATGGCTAGAAAGATGTTCCAGGAGATGCCCAGGAGAGATGTGGTTACTTGGAACTCAATGATCGCGGCAAGCTCCGCGAATGGGCATTTGGAGGACGCGCGTTTCTACTTCGATTCGATGCCACAGAGGGATTCCGTGTCGTGGAACACGATGATCAAGGCGCTGGGCCAGCACGGCTATGTGGAAGAAGCCTACGCTCTCTTCAAATCGATCCCACAGAAGAACTTCCTCTCGTGGGTCGTGATTCTCACGGTTTACGCGCAAAGAGGCCGGATTGCCGACGCGAGAGCTATCTTCGATCGAATGCCCAAGGAGAATCTCATGCCTTGGAACATCATGGTGGCAGCGTACGTAGAGAGCGGCCTCGTCGACGAGGCCAAGGAGTTTTTCGACCAGCTCATGCCGGAGCACAACGTCGTGTCTTGGAACGCGCTCATCGCTGGCTACGCTCACCAGGGACGAGCGAACGAAGGAAAGCGGCTCTTTGATTCGATGATGGAGAAGAACCTCGTCACTCGCAACGCTCTTCTGCTGGCTTACACCGAAGCTGGCGATGTCCGAGCAGCAAAAGAGTTTTTTGAGACCATGCCCGAGAGAGATGTCGCGTCTTTCACGACGCTCATCGCAGGATATGGCCAGTCGGGCGACTTCCAGGCGGCAAAACGAGTCTTCGATCTTCTTCCACAGCCGGACATGATTTCGTGGAGCACCATGATCGCAGTTTACGCGCAGAATGATCAACTCGCTTTAGCGGAGAAGATGTTCCACGCCTTGCCCGAGTGGGACGTGAAAGCTTGCAACGCGATTATAGTCGCTTACGGGCAGCACAACGAGCTGGAGAAGGCGATCTTCATGTTCGAGACGATGCCCAAGAAGGATATCGCGTCGTTCAATGCGATGGTTACTGCGTTTGCTCGATACGGTCACCTGGAAGAAGCCCGAGTTTTGTTTGAGAGGATGCCGAGGAGAGATAGAGTCTCGTGGACAGCTCTCGTCTCCTCGTACGCTCACGCAGGTCACCTCTGGACTGCTCGAAGTTTGTTCGAGAGAACTCTCGACCGGGACGTGATCATCTGGAACTTGATCATCTCGGCTCTCGCATCCAGCGTGCAGTTCCAGCAGGCGTTTGAGATCTTCCGGGAGATGAGAATGGAAGGATTCAAGCCGGACGAGACCACTTTCATCGGGCTCTTGAGCGGTTGTAGCCATGGAGGCCTGCTGGAGGAGAGCTTGGCTTATCTCATGTCGATGCAAGGCGACCATGGATTGACGCCATCCTCGGAGCACTACTCCTGCTTCATCGACATTCTGGGACGAGTCGGACAGCTGGAGAGGGCCGAGGACGTGATCTTCAACACGAAAGTTGCTCCAGTCGCGGTGAGAACGCTCTTGAGCGCCTGTAACGTTCATGGCGATTCTCGTTTTGGGAGCCGAGTTGCCGGACGAGCTCTCAAGCTCGAGGATGACAGCAGTGTCGCCTATATCCTCCTCTCCAACATCTATGCCGCTGCCCCGACGTGAAAACTTCTGAAAGAAACTTGGAAGCGATGGATCCATTGATAGATAGATCTCGCCACCTCCAATCGAAGTTTCGTTTTGCCTTTTCTATTCGAAACTGTAGGTGTGATTTCTTGAAGCTTTGCTAATCTGAGCTTCGCCAACACGGAAAGGAGGATTGACGCATCAGGAAACTTGATAAGAGTTTTTGCATGGAGTAATCGTCACACTTGGCTCGACTTTATATACAGGCTTTCTCCAACAATACAAATCGACCTTGTACTAGTTGTACACCATGAAGGCTGCTCTAGTTTTCCTTGTGTTTGTGTTTGCTATCGAGGTTTCATTCTCTTCTTCGAGGAGGGAGCTCTTGGCTTTGGATGATAGAGTTGATGTCCAAGTTCTTCAACAAGATCCCAGTTCTCCTTTGCCTCCTCTCAGGTTGATGGACGATGATGATGATGATAAAGGCAAGCAGAAGAACAATAACAACAACAACAACAACAACATTAACATCAACATCAACGTCTGTCCGGGGCTTGCAAAGAACACTTCCGTGGATCATGTAGATTCAAAGAATATATAACGAAGGACTAGAAAGAAGGAGAATGACAAGGCGAAATGGTCGAGATGTAAGAAACGTTTGGGGTAATCTTAACATAGCTCCTTCATAACTTTTTTAGGATCCATGCCGCCGCCACCATGCAGCTTCCACAAATCGTGGAAGCACCCAAGAGACTATTGCCAATCTTTGTTCCCAGCAGTGAGGCATTTGTCGTTGCTGCGTCCTCAAATGATCTCCCAAGTTCCACGCAAGCTTGTTCCAGTGGTCTTATTGCGGCGCCACCTTTTGCTAGTGATTCTCCAAGCTCAGCCCCGCCTGCTACCACAGGATTTCCAGGTGCTTCTACTGCTTCCAGTGATTTCGCAACCAGAGCGCTACCTTTTACTGCCGCATCTAGAGAATTTCCAAACGCAGTACTGCCTGTTTCAAGAGATTTTCCAAGTGTGTGGATTGATCTTCCAAGACCTAAAGATATCGTGGTTGCGTCCATGGATCTTCCTGCTTCCAGTAGTTCGACCCTGGATTCCAGCCTTCTTAGCGATATGATCCCGCCGAGCCCAGCTCCTATAGCTATTCCTATGCAGCCAAATTTCACATCCTGCTTCCAGGCCCCCATTTAAGAATGTGCTTCGCAAACTATGTCTTTAATAGCATAGTGAGCTTTTTAAAGCTTTTTAGCAGCGCTTGAAGAGTTTTCATTCTAGCATATTCTCAGTCTATTTTAATCTTTGAACACATTTGACTCTAAAGCGTTGTGACTTTAAGGCCTAGGAAAGGATATGCGTTGATGTTAGTTTAAGCTGTCTCTGTTCATAAAAAACTTGTGCTCGATCGATCACTTGGGTTAATCAAAGCAATGGGAGCGAAGGAGAGCAAGCCTCCTCTTTCTCGCAGGAGAACTCGCTCGTCCAGCGCAAAGGAGAAAGAGAATGCTCCAGAGAGTAGTCAGCAAGTAGTAGACGATCATGGTGGGAGTCCAAGCAAAAAGCCAAAGCTTTCTCAAGATGATCAAGACATGGCGCTGGCAAGAGCGGTGGAAGCCATATCTGAGGAGGAAAATGCAGCAGCTCAAGTAGCCAGCGATGGATCCATGGAGCAAGAAGCTTTAACAGCGGCAAATTCTAGCCTGGAAGTTCTCGTCACACTTCCAAATGCAAAGGTTTATCTCATGGATCACGATCAGGCTGGATCGGAAAGTGTTCTTCTCGCGTCTGGAGATCTTAGCGTCATAAGGATCGTCCAGAACGGTAAAGTGGTCGCAGCCATCGTCAAGCTTGGAGACGAGCTCCAGTGGCCGCTGGCGAAGGACGCTCCAGTCTTGAAGCTCAGCGAGAGTCACTACATTTTTAGCTTGAGACTGCCAGTAACTGTGGAGGAGGATGAAGATGAGGATCAACCTTCCAGCGAAGGGAAAGAGGAGGTCTCGTTTAAGTCAAGCGCGGAAGTTCTCAACTATGGTGTCACTCTCCCTGGAGATGCGAGCCAGGAGCTTCTCAAGGAGCTGGATTTGGCCCTCGAAAGCTATAGCTCGCTGGTGCCAGTTCCAGCGCTCCTGAAAGATCAAGACGAGGAGCTCGTGGAGATGGTGCAAGATGACGGTAATCAAGGAATCGCTGGAGTGAAGCTCACAACGAAGAAGAAGAACTACTACTTGGAGCAACTGGCTCCCAACGCCGATGACTATCAAAGCGCGATCGCAAAGGCGATTGCCAGTGGCTCGGGGCATATCGTGCGAGGAATTCTCTGGGTGAGCGAACTAATCGCGACGCAGATCGAGCGCAGTGGATTGTTGATGCAGCAGCACATCAAACCGAAAAAGAAGCCGTCAAAGATCAGCCCCAAGACAATGAAGAACATCCGGACGTAAGTTCTTGCGTTTACTAGCTTTGACTAGTTTTTTTACTGGCTCTTTGACTAGTGCCAAGCAAATCTCAAGGATGACTGAGACGCTCGCGAGTGGTCTTCTCTCTGGAGTTGTCACTGCCACTGAATCGATCACTTCCTCTGTGCTGAAAACTAAGCCAGGGGCTGCATTGATCGGGCTGTTGCGTGGAGAAGCCGCGATTGCCACTTTGGATGCCTTTGGTAAGCCAAGTTCTTCGCAATCTCTCCCAGAAAATGAATGATCACATTGTATGTGAGATCACAGTGAAAGTTTTCGATGCTTTGGAGCTGGCTGGGAAGAACGTCATGTCGCGAACAACTCTAGTAACTTGCCAAGTCGTATCACACAGGTAGATTGATCACTGTTGTGCTTAATTGAATCAAGAGAAATTTTTGTTCTAGATACGGAGACGAGGCTGCCGCATTGACAAAAGAGGGGCTTTCAACCGCAGGCCATGTCGTCACTACTGCATGGAAAATCTCAAAAATTAGAACAGCCATGAATCCAGTGAAGGCTTCCACAAATCCAGTCTCACTCAAAGCCGCCGCCATCGCCGCCGCTGAACAGCTCAAAGGCAAGAAGACCATGTAACTCCCAGTTAAATTCTAACCGTCCGATGGATGTTAACTTAACCCTAATTTGAAAAAACTGTCAATGAATATACCGAGTATATTTCTCGAGGTTTAGGGTTCTTAGGCATTTTGGAAATGACTCGCTACGCGCAGCTCGTGATCGGGCCGGCGGGCAGCGGCAAGGTGAGTGAGATTTTGCGTTTCCTGTGCTCAATCTCTGATCTCGATCTTGCAGTCGACGTATTGCTACCATTTGCAGCAGCATTGCAACACGATCGGGCGGAACCTGGATGTGATCAATCTCGATCCAGCGGCGGAGGATTTCAAATACGCGGTTGCTGCAGGTCTGTAAGGATTTCAGTGTTGCAAAGATTTTAGTTTGGATCCATTTTTCATCAGATATAAGAGAGCTTGTTCCTCTGGAGGATGTGATGGAAGAATTTAACTATGGACCAAACGGAGGCCTCATCTATTGCATGGAGTAAGATTTCAGTAGAGCTTTCGTGGTGTTAGTTTCTACTCAAGGATTCCTGGCTGACCACTTCTAGTGTAGATATCTTGAAGAAAATATGGACGACTGGCTTGCGGAGAAACTAGAAGACTATATCGACGATGACTACGTTGTCTTCGACTGTCCAGGTTTGTGGTAGTTTCTCTTCACTAGTTTTAGTTGTAGTGATTACACAGGTCAGATTGAGCTCTACACACACATCCCCGTGTTTAAAAGCCTCGTCGAGCAACTTAAGCGCTGGGATTTTAATCTGTGCGCTGTCTACCTCCTTGATTCTCAGGTAGCTCTACTCGGATTGATTTGGTGTATGACAGACAGAAGTTTGCTTTTGTTCTTGTGCAGTTTGTTTCTGATGTGACCAAGTATATAAGTGGATGCCTGTCGTCCTTGTCTGCTATGGTCCAACTCGAGCTTCCTCATGTGAATGTCCTCACGAAGATGGATCTCGTGGCTAAGAAAAAAGACATCGAAGAGTACGTGCTACCTATCCAGTATACTTACTTCGTTTTCACAATTTTGTGTGTAGCTACCTTGACCCTGATCCGGTTTTCTTACTGTCGGAGATGAATGCAAATACCGCTCCACGATACGGAAAGCTCAACGCCGCACTCGCAGAATTGGTTTCTTTTTCCCCACGAGTTTTGTAATTACTTACAACTTCTGCTTCCGGCAGATTGACGATTACAGGATGGTCAACTTCGTACCTCTGGACGTCACAAGCGAAGACAGGTACGCCATTTCTTTACCAGTGGGAGTTGTGTGATTGAATGGCTCCTTGCAGTTTGCAGTATCTTCTCTCCACTATCGACAATGCGATTCAGTATGGAGAGAACAGTGAAGTCAAGATAAAGGACTACGATCCTGATATCGGCGATGGCATGTCGTTCAACATGGATGCTGATATCGAGACGGATAACTTCTAACTTCTAGTAGTATGTAACATACTTTCCGGTGCTAATTCAGTTTCGAAATGTTGTATAGCAGTACATAGGCCGCAGAATTTCGGGGTTCTGCATCCAACAGCTGCTTTGCTGCTAGAGCACCATATTCCTTGTCAGTGTGGACCTCACAAGCACCAAGTAGGCTCCTCCAGGCTGAAGCATCAGGTTGAACCGGCATGGCAGACATGAAGCTTGCAGCTTGCTTCACCCGGCCGGACTTGGCGAGCAAGTTGACCATGCATCCGTAGTGCTCGGGAGTTGGCTCTAGATGGTGGTCTCCCTGCATGGAGAGAAAGTAGCTCCATCCTTCGTCGGCCAGTCCGGCATGAGAGCAGGCATGAAGAACAGAAGTGAACGTAACAATATTCGGCAGCACGCCGTCCTGATTCATCGTCCAGAACAGGTTGCGAGCTCTGTCTTCTTCGCCGTTACGTGCATAAGCCGCAACAATTGAAGACCAGGAAACAACGTTTTTACTTGCGACACTCTCGAAAGCAGTTTGAGCAGCCTCCAAGTTTCCACAGCCTCCATACAGACATATAAGAGAGTTTTGTACGACGTCCGAGCAGCATCCAGTGGCAAGACTGCGAGAGTGGACTTCCCGGCCCGTGGTAAAGTCACCAAAGTTGGCACAGACAGCAAGAACAGTACCGTAAGTAACGTCGCTTGCTTTTATCCCTTCTTGATTCATTCTGTGGTATATTTGCAGGGCCTCGAGATTTAGATCCTCCTGTGCGTTGGCTACTATCATGGTGTTCCAGGTGATCACGTTGGTAGTGCGGTTTGTTGCCTCGATAAACACTCTCGTCGCGTTTTCGAGGCTTCCACACTTGGCATACATGTTGATGAGCGCGTTGACGACGGACGTGTGGGACAGGTATCCTCTAGCAGCAGCTTCTCTGTGGAGTGACGATCCCCTTTCCATTTTGCAGGTGCTCGAACAAGAGTCCAGGAGAGTGATGAGCGTGACATCGTTGGGGCGCATTTGATTCTCCACCATCTCCAGGTACAATGCAAACGCTTTCTCCTCGCAATGGTTCTGTGCATACGCTCCGATCATTGCATTCCAGCAAACAATGTCTTTGTCCATTATCCGATCAAACACCTGCCTTGCGTCGTCTACAGCCTCGCATTTTCCGTAGAAGCTCACCACTGCAGTTCCCACAAACACATCTGTCTCTACTCCACTTGCAACTATCCTCTCGTGAATTGTCTTTCCTTCTACCAATGTTCTCAGGCTCGCACAAGCCTCCAGGACGCTAATGAGCGTCACTGCATCGGGCCTGGAAAACTCTTGTTCCATTCTTCTGTATAACTGAAGAGCTTCTAGAGGATACCCTGCGTGGGCATACGCAGAGATAATTATTGTCCATGACACAACATCTCTGAAAACCATTCTCTCGAAAACCAGCCTTGCTTCGTCCAGACTGTCACAAGTTGTATACATGTTTAGAAGTGCATTGCCTGTTATTATATCAGTCTCTAGTCCTTTAGCTCTAACTCTCTCGTGAATTTTCTTCCCCAGACTCAAATCCCCAGTCACAGAACAGGCACCAAGAAGGCTGATGAAGGTGATTTTGTTGGCTTCGGTGCCTTCGAGATCCATGAACTTCAAAAGCTCCAGGCCTTCGCTGGCCTCACCATTCTGGACAAGAAGTGAAATGAGTATCGTCCAGGAGAACACGTTCCGCTGGTGGATCCCTCGGAAAGCAGCTCGAGCGTCGTCCAGGCTTCCACACCTTCCATACATTTGCACCAAGAGATTTCCCAGGTACGTATCCCCGTCGAGACCATTAGAGATCATCTGTGAGTGAACCCGTCTGCCATCCGCGAGTGACTTGGAGTTTCCATACTGCTTGAGAAGAGCTTCGTATGTGTCTATCATCTCCTTCCTCCTCCATCTGGAATCTGCCGTGAGAGTTAGAGTTCCCGGAGTTACTGCATTCATTCTTAACTTCTAAGCCCGGCCTGGAGTTTTCTCCCCGCTATTCGTATATTCCGTCGAAGAACATTTCCAGGCCTGGAGTTGGAATGCCCCTTTCTTGATGCATGCACGTTTGTTTTGTGAGCAAGCTTTGTCCAATTGCATTGGCCACTATAAACCACAAAAGCCTGTCAGCCTGTCGACTCATAATTGTCGTTTTTGCCTTTATTTTTCTCTTTTGTAAGGACTGGAGCTGAGAAGCCGAAACACTCTATCAATCTCAAGGATGAAGTTCGTCGTTACTCTGTTCGCCGCTCTGCATTTCCTATCTACAGCTCGGGGCCAGAGCTTGCACCATGAGGAGCTCGTTTCTGCGAGAGATCCGTCGACGACCACTCTCAGTCGCTACTGTTCGAGCTTCCAGTTCAATGCCGAGGTGAACAACTTTGTTAATGGCTGGCTTGTCCCTGGGGAGTGCGTGAGTCGCATCAAGAGATACATTGAGAAGGGACAGTATGCTGCTGACGTTGAGGCCGTGATCAACCAAGCTCGAATTTATGTCAAGAATCTCACGGTCACCAACGAGGCGAAGAAGGCTTGGGTGCTAGACATCGACGAGACTTCCCTGTCGAATGTTCCTTACTATCGGACTCACAGCTATGGGTAAGCATTGCAAGAGTTAGTTCCTTGGACTCATTGTTTTCGATGCAGTGCTACGAAATTCAATGCCACGGAATTTAACGCTTGGGTGGATCAAGCTAGCGCTGCAGCGCTCGCTCCGACACTTTCTCTCGTCAAGGAGCTCGTGAGCTTGCGCTGGAATGTCATCTTTATCACTGGAAGGCCCGAGTCTCAGCGCCAAGTCACGGTCAAGAACTTAAAGGCCGCGGGATACAAAGGCTGGACAAAACTCCTCCTCAAGTAAGCAAAGCAAAGAAAAGAAAAGCAGAGTTTTCCATCTCCATTTCCTGGAGCTGAGCAATTTGTTGTTGCAGGAGTGCTGCTCAAACCAATGCTCGGATGACCGCAATGGCTTACAAGAGCAGCTTGAGGGAGGGACTTGTGAAAGATGGGTATGAGATTTGGGGGAACATTGGTGACCAGTGGAGTGACATTTCTGGATCTGCTGCTGGTAACAAAGTCTTCAAGCTTCCCAATCCTCTTTACTTCATCCCGTGACCAATAGCAGTGGCACAACCGTTGACATCAAATTAAAAACTTTAGACTTGTGTTGATTTATACGGTGCTGATGTGTTTAATACATTATGAAGAAACGTTTATATTTAGTTAAGAAAAGCTTGTCACTCCCTAGCTCGCTGTTGTCACATTTTTAATCTTTGATCTTGCGCCAGGAGCTTGAATCCTACACAGCTCCTTCATGTCACTCTTGATCGCCATTGTTCTAGTTTCCAGTTCATTTGCAATGGCTGGCTCGTTCCTCGCGAGTCTGTCAGTCGGATCAAGCGATACATCGACCGACGACGACATGAGACGGTACAATGCTGATACCAATGCTGTGATTCAGCAAGCTCGAGCCTACATGAGGAGTCTCACTGTTACGAACGAAACTGCGAAGGCGTGGACGTTTGATATTGATGAGACGGCCTTGTCGAATGTTATAGAGCTCAGAGGTAAGAACTTAATTGGAAAAAATTGTTTTTGTTGTCTAGAGCTTGGAAACTATGCTCCAGTGCTGCGAAGTTTAATGTCACTGCGTTCATTGCTTGGATCCAAGAGGGTCGCGCTACAGGAATCTCTCCAACTTTATCCGTCTTCAACTGGAATGTCATCTCTATCACTGAAAGGATTGAATCCCAGAGTGATATCACAGTGAAGAAGAACAGCAAATACAAGAGCTGCCTCGGTGACTCTTGAATCGTGAAGAAAAATAAAAGCTATAAACTCTTTCTTTAATGTTAGAGAAAGTCATATTAATTTCAAGGTGTATAATCCTTTGTATGAAAGAAGTTCTATTTTTCAACCCCCATGTGACTGCAACAAAATCTATTCCATACTTATGAGGAAATTAAAACGTTAAGGGTTCTACCACATCAGACTATAGTATCAAAATTAAAAACATAACCATATAGTATACATTACAAACCTCTTATCTTCCCCAGTTCCTCTCCTCGTTAATTCAAAGAACCATTTAAACTCTTCCAGGTAATCCATAAAACCCCTGATCCCAGAGTGAGGTGTGAAAACCGGGTGATCTGAAGAACACACATCAAAGTCAACAAAGAAACGAACAAGAGAGTTTTGCAACAAAACTCAAACCTGTAAAACTCCTTCTGCAAATGGTGCTCGTATGGAACACTTCCACAGAAAATGTTCTTGCATAACACTTCTGGATTGACCGTTTGCAACACTCTCTGAAGGAAGCCCTATGCACATCTGAAGGTATACTCTGCTCATCCATATTAAGCTGTCCAGCAAGCACTAGTTCTTGGGTAGCCTCTCGACACCCTTGCATCAGTGCCGAATCCGTCACCTGCTATTCAACGAGTGAGAAATTACAAGTGTATGGCTAGAGTGCATGCCTCATAATGCGCAAGTATGGTCCTGTAAAACTTAAAAAGGAGAAAGAACCAAGGTTACAATGCTATGCTTCGACAATTGTCAATGACAGCTAGGATCCTGAAAATTGTGGAACTTGAGCCAGGCATTCCACAGCTCATTTGACTCCTCTTCAGTGATTGCACCGCAATGAGGGCCTGCATGCCACACATCACCACCTGAATTAAAGAATACAAAACACACCTCAACAGTATCTGATTTGCATCGCACCACGTTATTCTCTTAAACTGTGGTAGTTCTTCTACTCCAAATGCAGACACCAAATGTTAGGAACTATGCCTCCTCGACCTTCCTGGAAAGGTTTCAATGCTCTCCACAGGGTCAAATTGTGATTGAATCCAGCTTGGGCTTCGTCAACGAGAAGAAGCCTCAGCGGTCCGTCAGGGACAAAGAGATTCCGCAAAACCCCCTCTGCAACTTCAAAGTCAATACAAATCTAAGGACATATGCCACGGTCACCATCATAGATAGATACGAACAGCTCGTTGAAGGTAGAAGCGTTGATGGTGGCAAGATTGACATAATAAATTTCTTTCCAAATGCCGCTAGCTCTTGCCTGCGACTCCGTCAGCTGCAACAATGACGTCTTCCCACTCTGAAGAGGAGCGCGAATCAGTACAGACGCTGCTGACTGAACGAGTTCCAGTAGCTTAGTTACGGTAGAGGTTCTTTGTGCATGCCAGCGGTAGACTCTGTCCTCATTCCGCACCCCGACACTGGCAAAAGTTTGAATAACAGGCTTCTCCACTACAGCAAAACATCAGAGTAACAGAGCGTCAAGTAACACGTACAAGATCGCCACACACAAGATAGAAGACATCCCCCGCAAACAACACCAAAAAACGCAACCAGTACCATGCCAGCAACCCACTAATGAGCAACCAGAGATCTGTAAGCCAGCTAGAAAAACATGGGCAGCAACGACTGACTAAAGGCGTGTCAGTCAAATAACAAGAGATGCAATAGGATTAGCTTTACGAAGATAGTCACACAACAAGGGAACGTAAAGGATTAGCTATAATCATGAGGAAGAGTGACGCTTCAAGATGCTCTTCTTTCCTATGCAGGCATTCATTGTCCATCCAGTATTGAAGATGAGGACCTCCTCATGCCAGTCTTTTCTCCACTGCCTTGTCAATCTCCTGTTCTATGGCCTTGACTTGTGCAGAAACTCCTCCTGGATCTATGGGCTCAAAACCATTAAAAGGTTGACGGGTTTATGTCGATGAGAAATGAGCTTTTTGTTCAAGTGTTATTGTTAATCAAAGTTTTATATATTTCAGATTTTTGAACAAGAAAAAGAGTTTAGCCATTCTGGGTGATCCTGGATGCAGCACGCAAGCTCTCCAGAGCAACCGCATCAGCCTCATAAGGCATGCAGTCTTTCAGCTCCACCGCATCGCCCACTCGCCCAGCTCTTCCCAAGACGTCGATCAAACACACGTAGTGCTCTCTCGCCGGCACCATCCCAAAATCGCACACCATGGAGCTCAAGCACTCGCAGGCTGCCGCTAGCTGACCGCTCTGGCTGCACGAGTAAAGAATGGTGATGAAAGTTATGTCGTCTGGAACAAATCCTTCTACCTGCATTTGCCGAGAGAGGAAGATGGCATCCCGGAAGAGCCCCTGCTTCGCGTAAGCCGAGACGATGGCGTTCCAGGACACGGCATCCTTGCAGGGAATCGATGAGAACACCCGGCTTGCATCGGCCACCCGGCTACACTTCGCGTAGAGGCTGGCCGCCGCGTTTAAGACCGTCGTGTTTTGAGCGTAGGGACCGGCGAGGACGAGAGCATGGATCCGCCTGCCTTGCTCGTGTGCTCCCACGGTCGCGCAGGCACGCAGGACGCTCGTGAGAGTGGTGGCGTTCGGCTTTACACCTTCCAAGTTCATGAGCTCGAAGGTCTTGATGGCTTCCCAGTGCTGACCATATGCCGCAATCAAGGCACTCCAGGAGATCACGCTGGGCCTCGAGATCCCGAGGAAAACTTCCCTGGCCTCATCCGGGTGTCCTGCTTTGCCATAAGCGGTCATGACGGCATTGGCTGCGACCATTCTCTGCTCTAACCCGGAGGCGAGGATCCGCGAATGCACGTCCCTGACTTGAGTGGCACTGTCGCAAAAGCCGAGGACGCTGGCGAAGACGTTCTCGTCGACTTCCATGCCTTCGAGGTCCAAGTGGTGATAGAGCTCGGTAGCTTCTCGCTTCAAGCCGTGCTGTACGTATGCTCCAATCACGGAAGCCCAGGAAGAGGTCTTCAGATCCTGCCGCTGGTCATTGAAAACTTTCACGGCATCCTCAAGGCCACCGGACTTGCTGTACATGTTGACGAGAGCGTTGTTGACTGCAGAGTCGGATTCCATTCCACCGAGACGAACGTAACCATGGATTGAGGCTCCGACTGCGAGAGCTTCACGGCCACGGCATCCATCCAAAAGCCCCGCGAAAGTGACAGGCTGAGGTCGCACGCCTTCTAGCATCATCTCTCGACAGAGATAGATCCCCCCTGCGAGGTCTTCACACTGAGCGTGCCCGGCAACCATGGCAGTCCAAGTGATCACGTTTCGTCTGTAGCGCATGCGGTCAAACACGTCCCGTGCATCGCCAAGACTGCTGCATTTTCCATACATGCTAATCAGTGAGTTTTCCATTCGAAGAGAGAAATCCAAACCAGAGCCGAGTGCAAGCCTGTGAACGTGCTTACCAGTTTCAAGGACTTCCAGGCTTGAACAGGCGTCTAGAACCGTGAGAAAGGTGATCTCGTTCGATCTCAGGCCTTCCTGGTGCATTTTCCTCCACGTCGCGAACGCACACTCGAGCTTTCCATGCCGTGTATACGCGGCAATGACCGTCGTCCAGGTACAAACGTCGGGCTGAAAGCTCCACTCGAAGACTGCTGTTGCATCGTCGAGACTGCCACAGTCGCTGTACATGCTGATAAGACCATTGCAAACAATCTGGTCAGAGACAAAATTGGTACCAAGAAAATGTTCGTGCAGCAGTCTACCAAACTTTAGATCCCCTGATGCAAAGCAAGCATTTAAGAGGCTGGCAAACGTCACCTCATCGGGTTTCGTCCCTTCTAGACGTGAGTATGCGTAGAGCTGAATTGCTTGCTTACCACACTCATGCTGTGCGTAGACAGTGATCATCGCGTTCCAAGAGATTAGATCCCGCTCAGGCATTCGATCAAACGCGTTCCTTGCCTCCTCGACGCTCCCACACTTCCCATACATATAAACCAAGGAGTTACTCAGCAAAACGCTAGCGCCAAGACCACTGGAAAGAATTCGAGCATGGATTTGCTTACCTTGGAGAGAATCTCCCAACGCAGCGCAAGCGCTCACGGCGTTGAGAAGCGTGATCTCATCGCCCTGCACACCTTCCAGATCCATTGCTCGAAACACCCACAGCGCCTCTTTCCAGAGATCCCACTGCATGTAAACAGACATTATAATGGTCCAAGAGAAACGATTCTTCTCACGTATCGCGTCAAAGGCAGCCAGTGCCCTCTCCACACACCCGGATCTTCCATACGCCTGGACGAGCAAATTCCCGAGGAAAGTTTCCCTGTCATGGCCAGTCGAAGCCATTAATCCATGAATGCGAGCGACAGTCGCGGAAGATCCGCCAAATGCCGGCTTTCGAGCACACTGCCGAAGAATCGTTTCGTACCTTGCTACTGGTGGATCCCCATTCATCCCAAGAACACGATATTTCGCTCCTGGAAGGGAGATTTCACCGCATCGATCTGTAACCCTCGAATCTATGCCGCAGAAGCCTGCCTGATCGATCCAATCTCGCTATAGTCGCGAATGCGGGCAGAAGCCCTAGCCTAATCGCCAGAAAAACCGCTAGAAAATCCTAGCCGCTAGGAAGCGATGAATGCGCCAAGCCCCTTGCCAAGAACCCTAGAATGGAAGAATGTAGTGTGTGTGTGTGTGAGTATATTTTAGTGTGAGATGGAGATCATACAAGGATCAATGCTGCTTGGCGCTGTGGCCCTGTGATTTGCTCCTCGTGTTCTTCGCCCGAGCTTCTGGATTGATCACCACTCCCAGCGAGTAGCTGGGCATGCAAGAAGAGCTCATCACGAGCTTCTCCTCGGTGAATTTCACCCTGCTCCTGCTACTCCTGAGCCCTGGATCGCGATTCCTGGCGCTCGCCCCTTCCACATTCGCTCCATCATCGCGGAAATCTGGCGATGATTCCTCTCGCGGCATGGATGTCTCGCCCTGATCGAAGCTAACCCTTCTCTCGCTGCCAAGCATGGAATTGGAGCTCCTCCACTGGTGATCCGGCTGGCACGACGCCCCGAAAGACTGCTGCGCGAGAGATCGGAGCGTGGATGTGGCCTCCTCCTCCTCCGGATCGCTGCCGTGCTGCTGCCGCGCGCTCTCGAAATCCGCGAAGGCGGGATTGACCGTGGCGAAGGAGTATTTCTTGAGGAAGGACATGGACATCGCCGAGGGATTGGCAGCGGTGGAATTGGAATTGGAGCCCGATTTGCTGCTGGATTTCCTGGCGCTGCCACTGTCGCTCCTCCTCGCCTCGCCCGCCGCCCATTGCTCGGGCGTGCTGCTGTGAGAGATCGAATTCCTGGGAGGAGGCCGCGACATGCAAGCTCCCATCGAAATCTCGCCCAGATTTCGCGACCGCGGGGCCGGATCGAGCGAGCTAGGCGTGGATCGATCGTCGGTCGATCGACCGCGCACCGACGATCTCCTTTTCTTTCCTACAGTGCTATAATATTCGCTTTTCCCACACGCGCACGCACTCCCCTCTCCTAGCTAACATTCCTCTCGAGCATGGGATTGGTTTAGCGTTAAAACGAGGATTTCCTTAATTAAGATTTATTTATCCGCAGCCGTTGGATGTATCCAACGGCCCACAAAAACCCCTTAAACGTAATCCGGGGAGAGACACAAACCCTTTTGCTGTGACTGACTGATTAGCTAGGGCGAAGCGAGGCGAGCGTTGCGCGCGAGGCGCTCTAGCATTCGATCGATCGATCGGGAGCGCATCGCTCTCTGGGATGACACAGGTACGCTGCGCGATCGCGCCTTAGGGTTGTGGAATTGATTCTATCGCCTCGTCTGCCTTGTTCCAGTCGGATAATCGAGCTGCGTCTGGAACGAAGCGAGCGCGCTCGGAAGGTAAGGCCGGCGCTTTGGAATTCTTCCGAGAAATCTTCTTTTCTCACTGGAAATTCTCTTGTCTAGGACCTCGCGGTGATGGCGATTGGACGTGCCCCTTGTGTGGCAATGTCAATTTCGCGTTTAGAGCTACTTGCAACATGAGAAAATGTGGAGCGAGCAAGCCAGCTGATATCACTCGGGTGGGAGGAGGGCCGATTGGACCGCTACCGTATGACCAATCGCCGGCGCTCTTCATGGCCGGGCCTGGAGTTCCTCCTCCAATTCAAGTGGGGATCAATGGAGGATACACGCAGGTGCCGATGCCTCCTCCCGTATCAACGATTCCATACGACTATGGTGGTGGAATGAATCTACAAACGACTTATAACCCGATTCAACTACCCGGTGCTTATAATCCCGCGCTAGGTGAGAACAATCGTTGGTTTTGGTGATTCTTAGCTCTCCTTTTTTTTACAGTTCATGCGGTACATCATCATGAAGGTGTGCACTTAGGATCTGGCTTTGGAGCTCCGGTCGTGGACGGCTATGGAATGGGCATGACTATGGTTCCTCCACCTGTAAGTGTTTCGCGTCTTTTGGAGATTCCGGAGGAAGTAAAGCTTTTCGTCTTTAGTTTTCGGTGATGCAGATTCCGGGGCCTCGGCCGGGTGTACAAATCGAAGAGAATGGCTCACGGAAGCGTAGAGGCGGTACGCAGAAAGCCTGTCCTTCGTACAACCTCTCAGTCTTCTTTTTTTGTTTGTTGCAGGGCCGGAAGGCTCGGAGGGCGATTGGATATGTCCCAAGTGTGGCAACTCAAACTTCGCATTCAGGACCTTCTGCAACATGCGCAAATGCGGCACTCCCAAACCCGCGGAACCGGTTTGTCATTCATTCGTTTCTTCTGCCGGTTGTCACCACAGCCTAGTGTCTGTTTTGTTTTCTCGTCTGTGTGGCTCAGGTCCCTCGCATTGCACCTCAAAAGGCTAACTCACGTAAGCTCTCTCTTTCAATATCTCTCATAGCAACACAAAAACTGGTTTGTTTCGTGTTGCAGAAGGTCCAACCCCGGAAGGAAGTTGGACGTGCGATGCTTGTGGTAATGTAAATTATCCCTTCCGAACGAAATGTAATCGCAGGAACTGTGGCGTTGACAAACCCGCTGATGCAAAGCTTACAACGAAAACGTCTCCTCCTCCATCGGACTAAGGTATGGCTTTTCCTCGCGCCCTCTTCTCAGTTTTTCTCCATTCTCTTTCCTTTTTCCCTCCTTGAGCTCTTGACACCGTCACAGCTCTTGCGAGCTGGTATGCCGACCATCAGAGACAGTGCTGACTTGGTTCGTTTACCGCTTGGGGCTTCCCGTGTTGTGCTGCGAGCAATTCCATTCGATCTGATTGATGGGTTTTTCGTGTCTCTGCCCCTGTTTCAGTACTGTCGTCGAGCTTGTGGAGGTCCGAAAAAAAAAAAAACCAAAAGATGAAAAAGAAAAACACTGTCAACGTTTTTCCGCCTGGTCCGTCGTTGGTGTCTCTTCTCAAGTCTCAGTTTTCTGATCAGGCCTCTCGTCTCCGTCGTCGTCATGGTCGCGTATATATACATTATGTACAGACGGCGAATGTACGTTTTTTTCTTGGTATACATATGGTCGAGAGGGTGAGGAGAGATTTTTTTTGGGGCCTTTTACAATCGCCTTTTACAATCGCCCTTTTTGGGGCGATTGTAAGATTATAGTTTAAGAGATTGGTATATTCTTTCAATAGGGTTTAAGCTATTGTTCGCGCATAGTGCTTCTTCGAAATGGTTTCCGCCGTCCGGCTCGCTGGTGCTGTTGCGACGGGAGTTGTGATAGGTGGAGTGGCGGCTATCTATGGCGGGGCTGTGAAAGCCGCAGTGGATTCCATCAGCACCGGGATCAAGGAAGCAGCTGAGGCGGGGGGCGGAGCTCTAGGGAAATCCCTGGAGCTGAAAGAGGCCCTGGCAGAAGGAGGAAAGGCGCTGGAGCTGAAAGACGCCCTAGCAGCAGGAGGAAAGTCGCTGGATTTTGGTGGATCTCTTGGGACGGGGCTGTGTGCCCATGGCCTCAATAGCGTTGGCCAGGGGATCAGCTCGGGCCTCAATGGCCTTGGCAAAGGGATCGGCTCGGGCCTCAATGGCATTGCCATGGGGATCGGCTCGATTGGCGTGGGGATCGGGATTGCTGGCATCGTCGTTGGGCGCGGGATCTGCAACCTTGCGGCTTCACAGAAGACCCTCGTCGAGAAGCTCGTCTCTGCAGTGGTCGTGCGCTCGGAGCCGGACAGGTCAGGCTCCGGAAAGCTCTCCAAGACGCAGCTCAGCTCCTCCGGCAACCCTGGAGAGGCACAGCTCGGCCTCTCCAACCCTGGCGAGGCGCACGCTCAGCTCTCCGACCCTGGTGAGGCGCACGCTCAGCTCCCCGACCCTGGCAGCGAGATGTGATGGTAAAACTGTGTTCTTCCTCCTTTGTTTCTTTTCTTGACGCTTTTTTCTTGCAAGGTGGATCAAAGAAAGGCGGACTCTCTCTCGATCGGTTCTCTCTCTCTCTCTCTCTCTCTCTCTCTCTCTCTCTCGCTCAGGTCTTCCTTTTTTGTGGAATTCTCAAGAATTCGTCTTTTTGTGTAGACTGAGCTGCTAGCAAGTTTTCTCTGTGTCTTTGCTGGAACAGCAGGCACACTTTCGGATCGTCACAGAATCGTCGTTGTTATAGAGTCTAGGATGTAAAAATGTTAAATATATACCAGAATGTAACGAATCTTGTCTAGTATATAGCTTCTGTTCCTTTTTCCTCTTGGGCTTAACTCGATCGACCAGAAAGTCCACAAGCAATACAACATTCACCATGCGTAAAGTCGATCCAAAGTTCCAGCGTGACTCCAGAGCACGCCACCAGCCTCAAAAAACGGTGGCCAGGGAAGATTGAGATTGATCCGGAGATCTTGCAACCCGTGGATGGATTTCCAGCGCTTCCACGGACATTTTCTATCACGTATGATTTTCTTGCGACTGTTAGCATCGATTTTCTTATACTTTTGGAACTATGGACAGGATCATGGAGTTAACTTTGGAGGAACAGTTGGAAAGGTAACTTAACTTGGATGAGTTCTTGTTTCTCAGACTGAAGCAAGATATGGCTGGAGTGATTGATGTTTGCTGGATCCAGGGAGGACCATGCCACAGTCCAGCTTGAGCTCCAAAGCGATGGTACACTAAGGAGTGTTATGAACCACATTCAAGAACAACTCCTAGAAATGGAGGTAAGCAACAAGCCTTGTGTTTTCGTGCGCTGCATGACGAAACTTTTTCATATCAAGGAAGATCAGCGTCTGTGAGAGATCGATCAAAATCCCACAAACAAAACGACAAAGCTTCATGCATATAGTCGACTGGAAATGACTCCAGGCCGGGCTTAGAAGTTAAGAATGAATGCAGTAACTCCGGGAACTCTAACTCTCACGGCAGATTCCAGATGGAGGAGGAAGGAGATGATAGACACATACGAAGCTCTTCTCAAGCAGTATGGAAACTCCAAGTCACTCAGACGGGTTCACTCACAGATGATCTCTAATGGTCTCGACGGGGATACGTACCTGGGAAATCTCTTGGTGCAAATGTATGGAAGGTGTGGAAGCCTGGACGACGCTCGAGCTGCTTTCCGAGGGATCCACCAGCGGAACGTG